CAGGACTGACCCTCCGAAGGATGCTCGAAACCGCAATCGCCAATAGCGCGCAGAAGCTCGGGCTTCAAGAGGAAGTCGCGGAAACCGGTCGAGTGAATGCCGACATAGCTGCCCTTCTTGTCGACGTTGTTACCGGCGGCGGCAGCATCGGCCTTCTTTCCGTTCGAGGCGGCCGCGGTCTCGTTGGTCTGAAGCTCCTCGTCGGAGTAGTCGATGAGATCCTCCTCAGCAGACATGTTGTCGATTACTGGTGGTGACGTTGCTGGAGATTATTGAAATAACGGCCGAGAAGGCTGTGGCGAAGGAAAGAACCCGAGGCTGACGATGCAAGCTTCTTGGGTTGATCAGGAGAGGATGACGGGCTAGCAGCGCGGTAGCTCCTAGCTTTGCTGAATGAAAAAAAAGAGAAAAAGTCGGAAGGTGTCGTTCGGCTCGTGGAAAGAAAACGCTAGCCGGGTCCTTAAAACACGGAGGGCGAGAGAATTAAATTCAGATGGCAATTGGGGAGGAAGTAAGGTTGGATGGCGAGTTGGCAGGCGCCGTGGTTGATGTGGAAGGACCAGGAACTTGGAAGACACGAAGGTAAGGCGGGCGCCCCAAGGTCAAAAGCTTTCGCGTGTGAGAGGCTGAGTTCAGCGACATCATGTGACCAGGACCCGCTTATGTGGACAGTGCAAATGCAGACTCAAGCACAGTAGCGTTAACCTTTGCGCTGGGGTTGGTCCAGCTTGCTGTCTGGCTGGGCAGCTTGCGCCCTGCAGCCTAGAACCTCTCCATCTGCTGGAGACACTCAAGGCCACCACCCACACCATCCATGCAACCCCTGCAGTGTTTTTTTCCACTTTCATGGTGAAGGTGACCTGGACAAGACTGACTCTGCTCACAACACTACGCTCAATGCCTTTCACTGTTTGAAACGCTTGACAAGCCGCAGGGAGACGAAAATGGCAAAGGCAAAAAGCGAGAGCTTGTCAAACCGGCCCCAATACACTCGGGTGTCGTACCTGCATCAAGCCGCCTGCTATTTAGCAACAGTGCAGCCAACAACCTCCAACTCAAAGCCAACCGCGGCGAAACTCCACGATGACGCTCAGCCTAGCCAGGACAAATATGCCACCACAAACGAGACGCTTGCTCGACGCTTCATCTCCGACATTCGAGCCGTCTCTCTGAAGGCCCAAATTCGGCCCAGCTCAGCACTAAAGCAGACGATGTGCAAGTACTGCGACGCCCTCCTGGTGGAAGGAAAGACTTGTGTAACTACAGTCGAGAACCCAAGCAAGGGCGGCAAGAAGCCTTGGGCGGATGTCATGGTCACCAGATGCAAGTCCTGCGGCCATGCCAAGCGCTACCCTGTGAACGCTCCACGACAAAAAAGGCGGCCTTTCCGGGAGCCCAAGGAAGTGCCAGTGGAGGAGAGTCTCAAGGACGTGGAAATGAAGGAGTCAGAGACTGCGGTATCGGATGAGCAGGCCGCAGCTGATTGAGAGGTACTTCACCCCCGACGGTCTTCAAGTTATGGCGGCACTTCGCCGCAAAGTACGACATGTCATGGGCAGCAAGCAGACAGACCAGTGACGATGGAGCATTGACTGGCGAGCGAGTCTACGCTCATGCTGCACAATGCTCTTGGACAGAGTCGACATGAATGATGGAGACAAACTAAAGCACGCTTTCGGCTTCCAAGATGGAAGAACCGCAATCAGAGGTCGCTTTCGCGTCCAATCACCCAATGCATCAGTCACAGAGACACTGTGGCAAAGAAGCATCAGAATTCTAAGCTTCGCCACGAACAACGTCAAGATACCCCCGGCAAAGAGCCAAATGATAGTTGTTCATCACATTTTGGATGCCACTGAGTGAGTGGTATGTTTTTGAATCATTAAATCATTCTGTAAGCTGAAGTGGCCTATGTAGTGACCAGAAGCTATTACGCTGTTCGGCGGGCATTTAGCAAACCGCGCGGTGAATACCATCCTTCATGTTCTTGACTTCCTGCTTGACTCCGTGCTTCTTTTCATGCTCCTCATCACTCTTGACACGCACCTTCCTGCGTCCGTGGTGCTTCTTCAAGACCTGCAGGTCAATCTCGTCATTCTCCATCAATGTCTCCGTGACGGCAGAGATATCCGTCAGCAAACGCTCAAGCAAGTCAAACGTCATGCTCTCGCGCACGACCACTCGCAGAATCTCAATCTTTTCCTCGTTCGGCGGTAGTGGGTAGTTGGGAATGATCCAGCCCCTGGCGCGGAGCATAAGCGATATCGTCTCCTGCTTGATACGCGGGTAATCCTTCTTGAACTCATCTGTCAAGCGGAACGAGACCACAGGCAAACCCGCAACGTAGTCAGCCGACGTCTCTTCGGGTGCAATCTCTCCGCCACCAACGGCAGCAGAAGCCTGGTTGACAGCCGACTTTACGGCACCCTTCGTAGCCTTCCCTGGCGCTGGGCGGTGAATGTCAGAGACGACGGTGTACCACCCTGTCGCCTCAAGGCTGTCAGCGAGCAGGCGCGAGTTGGAGAGACAGTTCTCCATGATGCAGCGGTACCCTTCGAAGCCAAGGTGGATGAGATTGTAGTATTGCACGATAACCTGCGCACCAGGACGGGAGAAGTTGAGGGTGAAGGACTTCTCAGTGCCGCCAAGGTAGTGCAGCTCGAAGACGAGGTCTTCTGGGAGGTAGGACTCGTCGCGCCAGATGATCCAGCCGAGACCGGCGTACACGAGGCCGAACTTGTGACCGGAAGTGTTGATCGACTTCACGCGGGGAAGCTCGAAGTTCCACTTTGCGCCTCCGCCTGCCCCGGCATGGGTGAATGGGGCGATGAAGCCGCCAGACGCGGCGTCAACATGGATGGGGATGTCGATGCCGGTCTCCTCCTGGTACTTGTCCAGAATCTTGGAAATCTCCTCGACAGGCTCGTAGTGGCCGGTGTATGTGCTGCCAAGAATGACGAACACGCCGATGGTGTTCTCGTCAATGTTCTCCCTCACCAGATCCGCGTCAAGACAGTAGTGGCTCTTCTTGCTCACGGGCAGAATGCGGGCCTCGACGTCAAAGTAGCGCGCAAACTTCTCGAGGGCGACCTGCGCGTTGGCGCCCATGAGAATGTTGGGCTTGGATGCGTCCTTTCCCTGCTCCTTCCTGCGCTGCTGCCATCTGCGCTTCATGGCGAGACCGCCGAGGTGGATGGCCTCGGAGGAGCCTGTGGTGGCTGACCCGAGGGCCTTCTCGCCGGGTTGTACGCCCCAGAGGTGGGAGATGATGGAGATGCAGCGCTGGTGCATGTCCATCATGGCGGGGTACTCGTCGGCGTCGGAAAGGTTCTTGGCGAGGTTCTCTTGCATCAATTGTGTTGCGTTGGGCTCCATGAAGGTGCCCACGAAGCTGAACCGTGTTAGTGACGAATGATGATTTGCACTGGGCTACTGACTTACCTGGCGAGGTTGAGGTTCGGCTTGCCATCGAGGTCAAGCTCGTCCCTGATCATCTGGAAAACGGTATCTCCCGGAGCTCCTTCTTCTGGTATCTTGTACTTGGGAATGTTCATCTGGGACGTGTAGCGAGAGTCGAAAGGGTGGATATGGGCCGAGGTGGCATGGCTGCGCATGTTCGTGTGCCCGGGAGGGGTGATGTGAGTTGCTTGGAGTCTTTGGACGATCTCCTCCGGGTTGACCTAGAATTGTCAGTTGGAGGTGCTTGCGATGTCTTCACGCAGGATACTCACATGGCTTGCGAGAGGCATGATGGCGGTTGTATGGTAGAAGCTCTTCAATGGGTATCACGAGTCGATTTCACAGTAAGATCTCACTTCGAAGTCAAAATGAGATGGATTGATGTCCAGACAAAGTGTGCCAAGAATGGGGGATCACCGTCCCCTGAGGCTTAAATACCAGATCAAAGCTCCATAGCTCACCTCCAGACAGCTAGCTGGGCGTGGAAACACACGAGTGCGCGGCTTGCCAGGCCGGATGATGAGGAATGAATGACGACATATCACAGGCCGGGCGGAGCGCGGAGGTCTCCCCTTGGCCCAGAGTCGTCGCAAGTTTGGTAATGCATTGAGAAAGATGTCTTTCAGCCCCAAAAGACTAGCTCTAGCTCGTAACGTACCCGCGGGCCGAGCGAGCGGAGAGATCGCGATGAACTCTTAGTCGCAGACTTCCAGGTTCCTGCCAAGGCCAGGGGCAGTTATGATGGAAGCTTGTGCTGCTGCGTGGAGCTTGGGCGGTGCAGGGTGCCGACTTTGCCGGTGGAGCTGGTGTTTGGGCGCCTGCTGACGTTGCGGTGCTCTTGTCACTGGCTGCTGCTGCAGTGCAATTGCGTGTCAAGTTAGAACCGGAGGTTGGAGCTTGATTTTGATGACTGTGGTTTTCATCCGAAGCATTGACTGGACGCAGTCTGGAGGAAGCCTGAGAGGATGAGAGCTACCGATACTCAGATGGTTTGGCCAGCCATCCACGATGATGAGTGACGGCATTTGGAGCTGAAAGCTTAAGGTACCTGAAGCTGCGGCCTGCATTCGGCGCCTGTGGCCTGTGAGTGTGAATTCCCTGAGGGGCCTCGCCGATCCGCCCATCCACTGGCAGGTGGGTCCTGTCCCGGCTTGGCGCTGCAGTTGCGCAGTAGCACCGGCAGAAACCAACACATCTCGTCGACGTCGATGCATCATCTGACTACGAGTTATTCCTGGATACATAAGCTTCAATGTATTGAGAAATTTGGCATAGGACTTAGGTGCTCTGTTCAAGAGCATATTCTGGGATAACAAAGTTTTTGATCATACACACAGGCTGCTGGTCAGCAACGCCGATTGGGACAGTCAAATTTGTGACACGACGACATAGATGACGCTGACCACAGCAGGGCAGGGCAGAAACATCTCAATGGGTTCAAACTCGCCTCATTCTCTGGGGTATCCAAATTCCATTCTTTTGATGCTAACAGCTGCTAACAGCAGCCTCCGGCTTCTTCATCGCCCACAGCGGTCGCAAGTCTAAAGCACCGTCTTCTTTCTCGCCGTTCTCGTGTAGTGGTTCATCTGCCACTCCACATCGCCCTCCCGTTCTTCCAACGTGCAATTCCTGATGGAGAATGCCCGCATGGTCACGCGGGGACCAACCTCAGACAACTCCAGCTGGTCGTAACCAGTGCGTACGTACAAATGATGGCGCACCTCGATGCTGTCGTCCTCCAGACGCTTAAATGTGACTGTTCGGTTGCCCGCTCTCATGGAAGAATCTCTTGGAGGTAACAAGTGCTGAAGGACTCGCTGCACACGCTTGCCGAGTTCCGTGGAGAAACCATCGAAGATGAGATCTGTGGAGTATGTCAGTATAACGACGGAGAGCAGCCTCGAGGGATAACATACGAGGATAGCTCTCTGAGATGTTGCCGCGCAGCGCATTTGGCAAGTCCTGGCGGGTCTTGACGTTGTGAAGGCTGAAGCTGATGGTCGGTCCGTGAGGAAGATGAGATATCGTCAAAGCCGACGGGGTGCCGCGGTGTTCGTGAACATGGACGATGTCAGTAAGGCCAGTGGCGTTGGCAACGCGGACGAGATCCTGCAAAGTCATAGTGCCACGGTTGATGACCGTGGCCGTTGGCATCAACAAACGGAGGTCTTTGGAAAAGCCTTGAAGCCTGCTTGAAGGAGATCGGGAGGTAGTGATGAGAACTCGCGGGTCCTGGAGACCGGACAGAGTTTCATACTCGTCGTCGAGGGATTGCAAGGCCTCGGCGGATTCGTCGTAGGAGAAGTCCTTGCGAAGCCGAGCATCGTTGGCAACGTCGACGGGGAGTGGCTAGCCGGTTGCCAACGACTCCCTGAGGCGGGCTCGCCTGTCAGCTACTGCACTCTCTTGAAGAGTGAGAGCCCGGCGGTGAAGGTAGTCCCTTCTTTGCCTTGATTGTTTTCGTGCCTAACATACGGTTAATCATGTTGCATACTTCTAGAAAGCCTAACAGAAACTCACCTGCAACATTGTAATAATTATGGGTATTCAGTTCCTCTGTACACTCAACCGACTCTCGCAACTTGAATTCTCATCAGTGGAGAAAAATTCAATACTATTCGCTGCATTATGTCAGCAATTCGGTCTAAGGTCTGTGCTTTCACCTCACCAAGGTGAGCACCTCATGCTGAATGGAAGAAATGGCTGCGGGCCGAGATGTCCCGATGTCTAAGCGTCCGAACGCTAGTCTTGGTTGGGAAGGGACTGGCCGCGGGGGAAACCGCTTCATCGGAAATAAGATTGTCAGCTTTCACTAGGGTCTCCCATTCGCCATTCAGGTCCTTTCATTCGATTTGGGAGATAAGCCAGGAATACCCAGGTCGCCCAGCTTTCACAAGCTGAACAGAATGGCCGGTGATTCGTTGACGCGGCACAATTCGACAGAAGGTCCATTTCAGTGACTCGCCAAGTCTCGCGCAATGCTTAGAGCCTGGGCCGATGGACGGGTAGCAGTGGCACACTGCGTAATCCCACTGGCCAGAGACTGATGGCAGCAATGGTAGCCTCCATCAGAGCATTCAGGCCCGGTTCCCTGAGACTTTTGCTTGGGCAGTCAGAGCTCGTACGCTGTCAGTCGGGCTGGGCCGGCTCGAAGCGATGACAGCCAGAGCTACGGACACTTCAGACGAGACGCTGTTTGCAGTTAATTCGCCAATCTGGCCGTCTTTTTCAACAATCGATACTTCGGATGATCAGTCCCAGCGACTCCCGGATCGGTGACAGGGGCAATGGCGGCGGCTTTGTGATCCGCTGATCCCCATGTTTCTTCGACAAAGAGTGCCAAAAGGACCCCTTCTAGCCCGCCAAAATGGGTAGCGAGCCACCGAGGCGTCCATCGACAGAGACGGCCTTCAGCGCGTTCGGGGGTTCGCACGGCTGCTCGAGGTCGCTAGAGAGGGGAGTGGACCAGCCTGCTGCCTGTCTTGTCAACCAATGTCACCATCGAACCCCCGGCGAACCATTCTTCTTTCCCCTCGCCTCCTCCACAGCCCCTCGGCTGTCGCTACCCCAAAAGAGGAAGGTCAATAAACGGCCGCTGGAGCTGCGGGCTGTCGGGGCTGCTTTTGTGTCGTGATAGCACGCTATAGCGCCGAATTCTCTCTGGTTCCTTTGGCCGACCCCCCATCCAACGCGTCGCCCGAAGTACCCAAAGAGGAGCCCGCAGTCACACCCACGCTGATATGGGGAGATAGATAGAGGGTGGCCGGGAGGAAAAAGAATCGCCTCACCCTCTCCCGCTGCTGTTGGTTGTGCCGTGGCATTGTCTCCACGGCTCCTCCATTCGGCCGTGAAGCTCACTCTTCTCCCAGCAGCAGACCCTTCAGGAACCACCAGACCGACACCTCCCCCAGATACCACAAGCCAGAGGATCGCGCTCTCTCGTGGTGATCTGCGGAAAGTGGGATTTTGACTGGCTTGTTGGCTGGCTCAGTCCTTGTCACATCACGCATCTTAGCCTGCAGACTGCCGACCGGCACCACCGTCGCCGCCATCCTCTCGCTTGATTAATTGAAAAAAGCCCTTGGCGCCCGCAGTCCCCCAGTCCCGTTGTGGCCTTGGGGCCTTCTTTTCGTCCGCTGCTTATCTCGACCGTCGTCGCCTTTCAGCCCATCCGCAATCGGCGTTGCATTCTCTCATCTTTCATTCTACTCTGTCGAAAGTAGAGCGAAGGAGAGAGGGACACGACGCCCTCGCCCAAAGATCACGATGCCGTCCTTTTTTCGCAAGCGCGGCGAGCCCGAGGAGATCACGCCGTACCCCGCCCTGGAAGACGATGCCGAGGCCACCGGTATTGAGCCTTTGAAGGCTCTGGCTCAGTTCGAGAAGGCGCACAAGCTCGACCCGAATATGCCAATTGACGAGCTCAACGATGTCGACACAGCACTCGCCACGGGGAACGCCGAGAAGGGACTCGAGATCGAACAGGCTCTTATGGAGGACAACTCGCCCTATCCCGAGGTACGTGAGAAGAAGGTCTCCACGCGCAAAACATGGGACGAAAGGGCGCAGAAGGAGGCCAGCGGCGAGTAAGGAAACCGTTCAAATCGCTGACTTGATGCGACACAGGTCCGCGCAGTGGTAAGGAATTATGATGTCGATTTGCCTGCCAACACGATCCGCGCCTGGGTCATTGGATTGTTGCTCTGCACTGTCGGCTCCGGTGTCAACATGCTGTTTTCGCTTCGAAACCCCAGCGTCACAATCACGACCTACGTCGTCCAGCTTATTGCATACCCCATCGGCAAGGGCTGGGATTTGGTTATGCCCGATAAGGAACAAAATGTCTTCGGTATCAAGTTCAACCTCAGGCCCGGAAAGTTCAACTACAAGGAGCACGTCATCATTGTTGCCATGTCTAATGTAAGTGCAAATCACCAAACGTGAGAGGGCTTCTCAGGAAATCCCCGATGTGACGACAGCCAAGCTCTGAGTGATACGGCTACACATTTCAAGACAGTACTAATACAATCGCACAGGCTGCGTATGGAGGCGGTGTCTTGTACGCGACGGATGTCCTGCTTGCCCAGCAACTCTTCTACAAGCAGCACTTTGGTTGGGCCTTCCAGCTGCTTTTTGGCGTCACCACACTCTGCACTGGTTATGGACTCGCTGGCTTGGCCCGACGCTTCCTTGTTTGGCCTGCGGCCATGATTTGGCCCTCAAACTTGGTCAACTGCGCGCTGTTCTACACGCTTCACGATCACTCTGGATCCGACCCCTCAAAGACAAACGGTTGGAAGATCGGCCGCTACCGCTGGTTCCTCATTGTTGGTAGCGGTGCTTTCATCTGGTACTGGTTCCCCGGTTGGATCTTTCAGGGTCTCTCGTACTTTACGTGGATTTGCTGGATTGCGCCCGAGAATGTGATTGTCAACAAGGTCTTTGGCGGTTTGTCGGGCTATGGTCTGATGCCCATCTCCTTCGATTGGACGGTCATCTCAGGCTACTTGACCTCGCCTCTGATTCCGCCATTCCACGCCATTGCCAACGTCATTGCCGGTATCATCATCTTTTTCGTCATCATCTCCTCCGGCATCCACTTCTCCGGCACATGGTACGCCGACTACTTCCCGGTCCAGAGCTCCGAGTCGTTCGATAATACGGGCGCCGTTTACAATGTGTCTCGAATTCTCGACGCCAACTTCCAGTTCAATGAGACTGCATACAACGCTTACTCACCGCTCTACCTGCCTACCCAATTCGCTCTCGCGTACGCCTTGTCCTTCGCTGCCGTAGCTGCAGTCGTCGTTCACGTTGTGCTTTATCATGGCACAGAGATCTGGAGTCAGTTCAAGTTGGCCCGTCACCAGGAGGATGACGTGCACATGCGCTTGATGAAGAAGTACCGCGACGCTGAGGACTGGTGGTACCTTGGTAAGCAACGCCTCTATACAAACTATTTGGATCTAAGCTTACACATACAGCTCTCTTCGTTGTCATGGTCGCCATGTCGTTCGGCGTCGTTGCAGGTTGGCCCACAGGCTTTCCCGCTTGGGCATACGTCGTCTGCATCCTGATTCCCGTTTTCTGGCTTATCCCCATCGGCATCGTGCAGGCCATCACGAACATTCAGCTTGGTCTCAACGTTCTCACTGAATTCATCATTGGTTACATGGTGCCCGGCCGACCTCTCGCCATGATGATGTTCAAGAACTACGGCTACATTTGCATGTCGCAGGCGCTTTACTTTGCGCAGGATCTTAAGCTCGGCCACTACATGAAGGTGCCTCCTCGCACCATGTTTGCGTCTCAGCTCATCGCCTCACTGTGGTCTGCTGTGGTCCAGATCGCTGTAATGAACTGGGCCCTAGGCGCCATTCCCGATGTTTGCCAGCCCGACCAGCCCAGCAACTACACCTGCCCCGGCGGTCGCGTCTTCTTTACGGCTTCGATTATCTGGGGTGCCATTGGACCTGCTCGAATCTTCTCCGGCAATGCTCTTTACTCGTCACTCCAGTGGTTTTGGCTCGTTGGTGCCATCACCCCTGTCATCACCTGGTTCCTTGCCCGCAAGTGGCCCAAGAGCATTTGGCGCTACGTCAACACGCCCCTTCTGTACGGTGGCTCCGGTTGGTTGCCGCCCGCCAGTGTCTACATCTACCTCTGCTGGGCCACCGTCGGCACGATCTTCAACTTCTTCATCAAGCGCAGATACACGGGCTGGTGGCTTCAGTACAACTACATCACTTCGGCAGCCTTGGACTGTGGCCTTATTGTGGCAACGCTGATCATCTTCTTCACTCTGTACCTGACATCTGCGAGGCCGCCTCAGTGGTGGGGCAACGTTCAGGTCTTCGAGACGATGGACTGGAGAGGCGATGCCATCAAAACACACGTCTCAGGCAGTGAGAAGATTGGGTCCAGCACCTGGCCTTGAGTGGACTAAAGATATCAAGAATGGGAACATGTGTCAAAGATAGGGAAAGATGCTAATGATGTTCGATTTGCTCGGATTTTAGGAGTTCGGCGGCCTTCTATATGTACTACGGTCTAATGACCCATTGGAAGGAAGGAGTCTTTGGATATTTAGCTCGGAAACGAGGGTTGTCTGTACGGCTGATGATACCTCAGTGCGAATCTGCTTGCATATCTAAATTTTAAGTATGAATCTACGAACTTATCGATGAGTCAGCTTTGAGAGACGGTTGGGCGGGTGGTCTAAGTCGTCAAGTTCGATTCAGCAACGTTGCTTGCGTTTGTTCTTGGCAGAAGTGTCATACAGATGCTTCACCACCTTCTGTTCCAGTAACATCCATGGACGACATCACGACAGACATCTCTGCTACCTGCACCCCCTTGGCCCAGAAATTTCCATCCTTACGGACGACTCGGAAGTTGTGCCCTGCTCAGCTGTGTTCAGGAACGGCCAGGCTGCCTATGCCGACGCCACAAACGGATCACTCCACTCCCTGGCCCAGACTGGGTCTCGTCTCCTGAGACACCAAGCATTAAACCTTCCCTAGATCGCGATCGCGATAAGATGCGAAGATCATCAGCACCCAACCCATCATGTCGGGAGGAACCAGTAAACGGAAGGCCTCCTCGGCGGCTGATTGCAATCTCGAGGCCAAAGGGAACAGGATTCTGTGAGAGCTCCCTGACATGACGGAACAAGACAACAAATGTCGTGCATCCCTTCTGGCCAGGCACAGCCCAGGAGCCCCGTTCGTTCCATGAAGGGCCGTCGCCCTTTGGGTATATGACCGAGATGACCGGTCATTTCACCGAAATCCTCGGGGACCTCCCTCACCGGCATCGCGGAACGAGGGGGGCGTCTGGAGCGGGAGGCGGTCGTGGTTCTCTACGGTTTCCAAGGCATCGACGTAATGCAGCCGCCGAGCCCAGGTCCCAGCCCCCTGGCCTGACAGCTGCCTCAGTTTCCGCAATCTCGGGGAGATTTGGATTTCCTGGGTCTCACGTCCAGGAAAAGATGCTATTGTCTGGGAAGGAACGGCAATTCCAAAGGAGACAATGGGCGGAGCCGCAAGACCCAGGCCCTGCGCAGAGACAACATTGCTTGTGCTCCCTCCCTCCCTTCGCCCCAACAAAACATAATATGACCAGCCGGCCGGCTCGCTCGCTCGTTAGTCAATGTCTCACCCTTGGGAATGGTCGCACAGAGACATCATATCATCTTTCCCGGGGAGGAGATGACTGAGAAAAAGCAAATGTTTGGCAGCCCAGGATCCAGGAAAACCGAACCCCTCATCCCTTTTGACGAAGCCATTTTTGGGGGAAGGGGTGAACCAGAGGGGTGTCATTTGTTCAATGGTAAGGCAAAGGGTACATAAAGATTCCCTCCCTGGAACAAAGGTGAGTCAAAAGAAAAGACGAAAAGACAAACACAAATGCCAGGCAAAGCAAATTTCGCAATCCTGGGCTCTTTTGGGTGAAGAAACGCCAGCGCATACAAAACACAACAAGTATGGATGACTCTGGTATAAAGCAAAGACAAACGTCCCATTATTTGCGACGCAAAGGAAAAGAGACCTCTTCTTCACCTTTTTTCGGCTCGGGAAGGAAACATACTCACGACCGCACTTACATCCGCGTCATAAGGGGTAGCAAGGACTCAACAGCACTCGGAACATATCATGTCATTGAGAAGAGAAGCCGGCAAAACCAACAAGATTTATACGCACAGAAATTCCAGATCCACGGTCCCATCTTTACCACCTCAACGCTGACGACAACTTCCATTTTTTTTTTTGGCTACGAATTCATACCAGGAACCTCTATTTCTAAGTTCTAGATCAGGAAAATTCGCGCTATCGACGAATAAGGCACGAGCCGTTACGCATACGACGTTGCGCGGAGCGGCGCACCTCCTGAAAAATGGGACGAACCGGCTACGACACGACGGGGCTGTACCTCGACCGGCTCCAAGCTCCCCGAAATGCCAGCGGCGGTAAGAAGGCCGCGGGCACGAGAGCAGGGTCCGCTTCTGTGGTGGAGAAGCCGGCGAAGGATCCGAAGGCCGGGAAGAGCGGAGAAAAGGCCTCGGGATCGGTTTCGGGACAGAACTGGCAGGGGAGTCCTAAACCGCCGCTCCTGAGATGAGGGTGCCAAGAATTGCGGGAAATCCGTCAGAAGGATATATTTGAATAGAAGATACCGGGTCGCGCTATGGTAAGTTTCCTGGCTACTGCTGCAAACGTTTGCGTTCAGGGGATTCTAACCCGAGGTGGCAGAGATCGAGAGTTTCGGTTTGGATTGTATCAAAACTCGAGGAATGGCAAAGACGGAAAGTCGGGTAAGTTGTGTCTCTCTGTTTCAAGTCTACGTTGATACTGACTCTTTGAATAGTTGCGTGGCAATGCTTGGAAATAGCACCAGCACAAGACAACTCCTGATGGCCGCTACTCGCGAACAAATCCACCATCAGGGACGCGTCGAGCATCAAGTTCGACTGCAGAAACCATCAGAGGGTTGCGGGAAAACGAAATTTCCACGAATATGGTGCGACTAGCCCTGGAGGCAAGCAATTTCTTCAAATCGGGTGGAGATAGACCACCAGCAGTAGACAATGTTCGCAAGAACAACAGTGATTGTTAGATTTCAGCCTCCGCAAGGAACAGCGTCATGAGATTCAATGAGTATGATACACAACTCCAATTTTCCGTCTATACACAATGTTGTCGTACGTGACGTAACAGCCTTTGAAATACACAAGAACGCTTTTCTGGACAAATGGGGGTATCGCACTGGTGAAGAGAAGGAAAGCAAAACATAAGCCGTTCATCGGGATGGAAGCGGCACCTCATTGCATCGTCAGGACCTGAAAATTAACCATACTGAGGAGGATGCTGCGTGGGAGCCGTATGTGAAGGCGGCTGAGGCATGTAGTAATCCGCAGCGGCCCCGGTCTGCGCCGGAACCGGTGCCGGTGCCGGTGCCGGAGCTGGGTTTGGGCTCTGCGGGCGGTAAGGAGGCGGGCCGCTCACGGGGTCGTACTTGTTCTCGACCCCAGCGGCGCCGCCGTACCAGGAATCGTGATTATTGCCTTCTTTGCCGTGGCCCTCTTCAATCTTGGCGTAGGTGCCGCTCTTTTCCTTCTTGCTGCCGATGAACTTCTTGTAGAGGAAGACGGGGATCCAGAGGCCTGTGGATACGAGGAGGGCGTGGCCGAAGACGTGGCCCAGGCGGAATGATTTGCCTTCCTTTTTGCGTTTGAGTTCTGCGTTGTGTTAGTCGGGATGTCTTTAGGGAACGAAAGACGATGTTGGGCAAATAGACACACCTTTCATCAAGTAGTATGTGAACGCAATCAGGAAGAGGATGAACCAGATGATGGCGAGGATGATGAGCACGCGCGCCCAGACGGGGAGCCGCGCGAAGCCGTTGTTGCCGCCGCTCCCACCGCCTGCGCCGCCGCCGGCTGCGTAGCCGCCTTTGCTCTTGTATTTGCTCTTTGAGGATTTTGATTTTGACTTGCTCGAGGACGATTTGCCGGAGCTGCCTCTTCCTCCGCTGCTACCACCACCTTTTGGTTCGCGGATATCGAGAATGAATGACATTGTTCTTGTTGTTGTCGTCCACAGTGTCACTCGGGAGAGTGTGGTCTATTGAGGGGAATTGGGTCGTGATAAATCAGGCTGATGGTTACACAGAGCCTGCAGAAGATAACGGGGGTGAGGGGACGGTAGATAGCCTGGTTGCTTGCTGACCCGGTGCGGAGGGTGCCAAGGTCTTTAATAGGCTCTTAAGCACACTAGCTTAGAACAACACGCAAACGACGACATCTTACCATACATCACAAGGAGGACTGGCAAATGGTAGTCTGACAGGCGATTGATCAGCCCTGTACCTCATCCTTGGCGGAGCTCCGGCCTAGGGTCCTGCTCCCGACCCAATCTATGCAACTTGACCTCAATGTTTTCCCCTTCGTGGACTTGGAAAATTGGGCCATGGCACATAGTCGGAGCCTAGCACGAGAGGCGCAAGGAAGACAAGCTTCTTCATCAGGTTGGTCGAGGAATCGGGACTTCCTCGTGGGCATGAGTGGGTTGGTATTGCTCGTTGGCTGAGCTGAGGGATTTGGTCAGGGCTTGGCAAGTCACCTTATTCGTCAGATTCTGTGATAATGCAGTGCCAAGACACGCGATGCTCGAAAAGTCGAAGAACCAAACCAAAGTACCGCGCACTCGCGCTGCCTGTCGCAAGGGCGGTGTTTTCTCTTCGGCGGTGCAGCGGCCGGGGTGGCCAACGAACCAGGCCGATTGGAGTGCTCAATCAGCCCTACCGGAGGGAGCCAGCGGTCTGTAAACACATTGGAAACCCACCTCGATCTTATCTTTCAGGGGACATTTGAGTCTGCCTCGAAGCTTGATTCCTTAAACGGTTCATGAACCACATCTTCGGCCCCGCAGGGAGTGCTGCGCTCCGGGGCCGGGGCCCATGAACGACCAGGACTAATTCCACTTCCAGGCAGCGACATTCTGCCATTTTTCCTTTCAAATGTCAAGATGAACTGCTTCTTGGAAAAGGGACCTTGGTTCAACCCGCCGATCTCCGTCCAGAAGGATGACTTTCGGGACTGGCAATCCAGTTGTCCTGATTCGAGGTCAAGCCCGCCTCCAGGGCGCACAAGGAGGGGATGATCGCGATTATCTCTGCGGCACAGCTGCTCAATGCCGTCATGTATGTCCTCCCCCAAGAAACTTCCGTAACTTTCCTTCCATGCATTATGTCTTTCTTCTTTTCCTTCCTTGTTCATCTGGTTCGCCCAGTTTGAGTTGAGACACATCAACGGCTGCACGATGAGGCAGCCGGTACCCCTGCATTACGTCGGTGTCGTCCGTTGGGAGGTGAGTGTTCATCGCCACGCCCGTCATCTCATGCGCTCAGGGTCCAATCCCCACATCGAGGCGGCAAAACTTGGAATTGGGTTTTGGGGATGTGAGTTAATTTTGACTTCACCGAGAACGACGTACTGAAGCCGGGCGGTGCCTCGATAAGGCAGACGTAGCTTTTGATAATACCTTTGCTGTTGAGCCTCATTCTTCTACTGCTTGCAGACTGGGCTGACGTCGGTGTGCAGACTAGAAATGTTCATCTCGTTTGCGAGTTGCGAAAAGCACGATGTCATGGAACTCGCGACCCATCTAATGATTCAACTTGTTGAAGCTCTCAGGCAGTGAGTAAGTAACTATGCGTGAACTTTTCCGGGACTTTGAACTACGCCCTCGAAATATTGGGCATCAACTACCGACTTGTTATCGATCCAAGATTGACAAAGTCTGCAAACATTATGCCATGACCCATGCATCGGTAATGTTTTTCTTTGATGAGCGAACGATAAGGCTCTGCTTCGGATTTCATTTCATCCGTCATCACCAATTAGACTGTTCATCTGTTCGTTTGGGCCCAATTGTTCAACAATGTATGGATCCCTTCCTGCACTTGGTAAGTAATGTCATTGCCTACGCGTTGTTGTTTGAATACCGGATCGTGGGATCAAGGAGCCCTTCGAACCTCGGGAACAACGTGCCATACCTTTCAGGACTGCCTTCATTTGTTCCATTGAGAGCCGTGCGAGCTCCCTGGACGAGTAATCGACCTGATGTCTCTCTTGGAGCCCGTATTTCATGCTGGTCGACTTACCGAAGGCACCAAACTGCATGTGGGTGCCTCTTCATCCAGCAACCTCAACAAGCATTGAGTTTGTAGTTACGACGCAGCCCCCCCGCAAAAAGACTACGGCAAAATTCACCCTATACGCGGGCACAATTCTGGAAACACTATATGGGCACCTTGACCTGTGCCCTCTACCAATTAAGGAAAACAGTACAGAAACCCTATACGTTCCTGCCTCAACAAGCATTTCTGGTCATCGGAATTGTCCATGCCGAACCGAAAACCTGCTCATAAAATCCTGAGAATGGCAGAGGTTGCAGGTCAGCGCGCGTCCGAGCAATGGCGGCCAAACCAGTGACACGCGGCACCCATACCCGGAAAGTCGTTAGTCTCGGTGCACACAATACGTAGGTGAATTCCATCCGTTGTAGCGATTTCCGCGCCCCAGCCGTCAAGTCGAAGAGGTCGAAGCTTCTCAGGTTCCCGAGCATCAGCTTCGATTGAATATGCTCGTGCCCTGGCACGCGCTGGACATGAGCCACATGAAGCTTGCAAAGACGAGGGCGCAAGGTGATGGACGGCAGCTAGAACAGCTATCCATGGCGTGGCGACGTTGCGTCAAGGAAGGAACAAGGCAGTCAGATATTAGAAACAGCCGTCCATCGTTTCGTTGTTCTTGACATGGCGCCGTGTTTGTTTGGCAGGCAACTCGCGTGGCTCGAAGGCATGCCCCGCCTCTCAGAAGACTCGCAATTGCCGCTGGATGGGAGATTTGCATGAAATAGGTTGCTTCTCATTCGTGGCGGAGCACAACGACCCGGGCGGTCTTTATTAAAAAACGGCTTTAGAGTTGCGATAGTCTGGGGTTGGCGCCGGTCGGGGTCATGGGGGACAAAGACGTGTCTTGGCCGGATACGGACATTTTTGTCGCCAGCTCCGGGCCGTGGTGATGACAGAATGGACCTGAGGGCACGACCTGACCTTTTCTCTGCTTCTCGGCGTCTGATGTGGTGAGGTGAGACGACAGGAGGAACGCGGCGCAGGTTGGATGATGATGCATGGCGGGATATCGTATTATTGCATCAGACAGACACTATAAACAGAATCACTCCTTTCGAGCTGCATTTTGCATCCGAAGAAGCAAGCAAGACACGGGATGGAATCACCCAATGGAAAATCGCCGAAAAAGCTGACACTACCTACCTTACAGTGGAGTGTCACTGGAGTCTCCGCCCGGCTTCGGCGCAGCGCCCGAAAGCCCGGTCCCGCGTCTTTGGGCGGGCATCTCACCCTTAGTGTACCTTAGACAGCAGGACTGGCGAATGATGCCGCGCTGGGATTCGGTCTGGGGCCCGTCCGATGTTAGCGTCACTTTGCGAGCCTTCAGTGGCTTCACTGTGGATCCCCAAGTGCCCCTGACCCTGAAACATCGGACTGGGCCGACCACTTCCAGAGGCTCCAAAGGGCTCCAATGGGCTCCAATGGAGGGGCGTGGACAGGGGGACTGCAGCGGCCCTGAGAGCATGTTTCTGCAGTTCGACGCCCAAGCTCCGACCTCAGTGTTCCACGTTCACCCCCCCAATTCCCAGCTTGCAGGTGTCACCTGTCACACAATTGATGAAAGGCCGTTGTCCTCTTCTTTTTTTTTATTCTTCAACTTTTCCATGTCTTTCCTCGTTTTCGGTTTTCCCCATCCCAAGCTCCCTCTCCCTCTCTTCTTGATGTTACAATAGCCCTTCTCTTTGTGTGTTAATTCAACCTCCATTGCTCTCCTTTCTTCCCCTCGTTTCTTACACGTGTTTCCAGCTTCCTTCCTCCCAAACTGACACAGAGTTCTCCTTTTCACGATCCACCACACCTTACGTCACACGAAATTCGACAGTCAGGGCAGGCCCGCAACAATGGCAGCAGCAGTAGCAGCAGCTACCTCCTCCGGGGCATTCGAGCCCAAGACGCGCAAACGCGTTCTGAGAGTCATTGCCGTCTCTCTCCTCCTCGACCTTGTAAGTGAAACTTGCGGCCCTCTTTGTCGTTACTGAAAACTGACCACGACCCCGCGCCAGATCTCCTTCACCTTCATCCTCCCGCTCTTCCCGAAGCTCCTCGAGTTCTACCGCGACCGCGAAGCCGGCCCCGCGTCCGCAAACGCCACCGAGCCCGCGACCCTTCTCCAGAGCGTCCTCTCCGGCCTCAACCGCTACAAGGCCGCCTTCGCCCGCCCCATCGACTCGCGCTACGACATCGTCCTCCTCGGCGGCGCCCTCGGCTCCCTCTTCAGTCTCCTCCAGGCCATTGCCTCCCCGCTCATTGGCCACCTCTCCGACCGCCATGGCCGCCGTACCGCTCTGCTGGCCTCCATGTGCGGCAACATCCTCTCCGTCCTCCTCTGGGTTGTCGCCGTCGATTTCCGCACCTTTGTCGCGTCGCGCGTTGTCGGCGGACTGTCTGAGGGCAACGTCCAGCTTGCGACTGCCATGGCGACGGACATCTCCGACGAGCAGAGCCGTGGATCGACCATGGCGCTCATTGGCGCATGCTTCTCCATCGCCTTCACCTTCGGTCCGGGTCTGGGCGCATGGCTGAGCAGCATCAGCACCGTCAAGGAGAACCCCTTTGCGACCGCCGCGGGATTCAGCTTGTTCCTCATTCTCACCGAGACGCTGTACCTCTACTTTTGCCTGCCTGAGACCCTGCCCTCGTTGACCGGCAAGGGCGCCAAGAAGGACGAGAAGACCAAGACCCCTGCCGCGCCCATCCAGCGAACCAACTCCCACTTCCTCCTCAACGCTGTTCACTTCGTCTTCCTGCTCTTCTTCTCCGGCATGGAATCCTCGCTCTCCTTCATGACGTACGAGCTCTTCGCATTCGGATCCGCCAAGAACGGCCGCCTCCTCGGCTACGTCGGCCTCGTCGCCTCGATCCTCCAGGGTGGTGTCACCCGCCGCCTGCCGCCCTTGCTCTCCGTCCGCATGGGCACCGTCGCTTGCCTCGTCTCCTTCATCCTTCTCGGCCGCATCTCGACAACGGGCGGTCTTTACGCGGCAGCTACTTGTCTGGCGGTGACGTCATCGACGGTCGTCACTGGTTTGAACACCCTGAGCAGTTTCGAGGCTGCCGAGGGCGAGCGCGGAGGCAAGCTGGGTATCCTCCGCAGCTGGGGTCAGCTTGGTCGTGGTCTTGGACCGATTCTGTTCACCAGTGTGTATTGGTGGGCTGGCCGTGAGGTCGCCTACAGCATGGGTGCTGCGGGCATGGCTGTCGTGACAGCGGTAGTGTTTGCCGGGCTCAAGACGCCGCCTGGCTCATTGAAGAAGAAGGTTCCCGCCGAGAAGAAGACGGCATAAGGAAGGAAGGAATGGAAAAGAAGAAAGAGAATTGATTGCTATAAGGGGTCTGTTGGGTTGACACTTTTTACACACTGTACATGTATTTTGGGACGCATTGCTTAGGCGTCGGTGGTCTAGGTGGTATGTATGATACACAATCGAAGGAACTGTACATGAAGAGTCTTGATATTGTTCAGTCGATTGAAGTCATGTGTTGCATATTGACTGGATAAACATGCACATGCTGTGGGCCCTTGAAGCCTGTGGTCTTTCAGTGGCCACATTTAACCAACAGATCAGGAATGGATGTGAAAATACAGATGTTGCTTGGCCGTTGAGGAACCTGGAAGAATCTGAGCATGCGAGCAGGCCACAACAGATATCACGTTCTTTGAGTCCAGATCTCACGAAGCCTAACCTGTACCATCTTTACTCGGACACTGGGGGTGTATTTTTCATGTATGAGTGACGGCTGATGAATAGCCATGGAGATGGCAAGGCTAATCTAAGCTTTCTATGCAGCCATTTTGGTTTTGGTTGGAGCTCTCCATACCTCAAGGAGACTTTCTAAATATAAAGATCTTAGCATGGGACAGAAACCAGTTCCCTCGTTCATTGTCATCGAAAAGACACATGAGGCTGAACGTAGCTGGCCACTTTAAGATCTTCCAAGGACCTATCAGCGACGATAAGTGATAAAAAGGCAGCTTTTTTCAGCGCTCAGTTTGAACTTCAACAGCCAAATGTTGAACCATGATGGTGGTGTTAGTGTGAAGAGACCGAAATCGATGGGCGGCCCCGTCTCATCGTTCTCAAATAATCGCAATTCGAGTAGCGATCGAGGAGAGAGTAGAGTGGCATAACGTCACTGTCGGTCTGGTGTTCCTCATAAGAATAACTTCTGAGGAACGACAGGAAGTAGATCAAACGCACACACTAGGCAGTATGTAAGTCATGGGAGGAGCATGCGTCTTCGATTGGCATCCAGTTATTGTCACTTCAATAAATCAGTACTACAAAGCCATGTATTGGCGTTGGTCGTCCGAGGTTGATATCAAAAGTATCCAGGCATATATATACGATGTTTGTAGTAATGAAGATGCTTGCAGTCCATGCCCATCTGGGTTACCTTCTGCACCAGACGTAGGTCCTCATCATGCCCTTCTTATGACGTGTGTAAATGGGCAGGAGTATCAATGGCATTGGCTCTCAAGCCCAGAAGCAATTACCCAAGAGGGCGAAGGACACACAATGGATTGGTTTGCACAAGGTTCGGGTTAGAAAGCATCTCAGCTCCTGGAAGTGGACCGCCACTAATCTTTCGACAGGATGGCCTCTGTCATTGCTGTCCGTCATGTATTCACCACTCCGCAGACGGATGAGAGGAAACAACACAAAGTCCTTGAGCCTTCCAAAAGCTTTGGCAAATTCCAGCGCACTCCATGTGGAATACTCACTTAACCTCCATACACAGAGACGACAGGAGAAGGAGAAGCATTCCAGGTGCGAACACAGCGTCCGCCGTTGTGCAAGGCTAGTATTTTCTAGCAATTGGAAGTAGTCCCAGTCTTGTCCTGAAAGAGTCTAGGAAAACTTTAGAACACCAAGGCTCATTGTTGTGGTGAATAGAAATTGACTGTGTCTTGTCTTTGAATAAATATCTAAGTACTTTACACAATGAGAGCAGCATATGACAGGCACTTTCTCAAGAAAGAAAATTAATACTACGTATGCTGAGCGGCGAGGACTACCAAGGCAAGATATCAAAGGTAACATCATGGCAGCATGTTGTATTTCCCATGCTTAAACTTGCTTCGGTCTGCCTCTATCGTCTCTGTATTGGCGGATGTGTTCTCCAGTCTCTCCAAGGGCTGCTGTTTGTCGTGCGCGTTTGCACCCCACCCCTGCCTCATACAAACAGAAGGGGCGCCCAAGACAAGGCACCTTCCTTCCTTCCCTCACCTTCCACACCACCATCCAAGCAGCCAGCGTCCGTCTTGACGCACGCTGCCGTGGATTGCTTCCAACAACAAAGACAAGACCAGATGGTCTAGTGGTCCAACGCCGGCGTGGAGCAATAGTAGCTTATTGGCCTCCTAAGCCAAAGGTTGCGGGTGCAAGTCCCGTCGTCGGTGCTTTTTTTTTTCGACTTTTGGTCTTTTGTTTACCGTTTGACAGCTGACACTTATGCATACTGCAATGGTATGTGAGAGGTAAGGTAGGGGGTCTGGAGTTCAAAGGTATGCATGGCATAACGTAAGATGTTATGATTGTCTTCCTGCCTTGGCTGTGTTAGACGCAACACTCGTGAAGTTGACTGTGATATCACCACTGGCATCATCATCACCACTACCACCATCACTGCCAACAAAAGTATGACGCAATTGGTAGTTACCAAAAGACAGAGGTTCAAAACAATTCAAAGATACTGGAATTCGGAGCCTTATCATACCTTCCATCCCCTCCATGAGCCTCTCTACGCAGCTCGCCATACATAAATTCTACATGAGGGGTTTCCTGATAAACGCCGTGCCATATGCAGCTTTGGACCGGAGACGACCACCTGCGACCCGTCTTTTGATGTTACTCTCCATCTTCAACCAACGTCCCGGCCCTCCCCTCGCTTAATGTACAGTGGTGTTACGATGTCGAAGGGCGTGGCTAAAATGTCGTTCGTGTTTCGCCATTTCGTTTTCGTGGAATCGGAGTCAGCGTTTAGCCCTTGGACTTGGTGTTCAGGATCAGAGCGACAATGAGACTGTGTCGCCGTTAGCTTTGGGGTTGTTTACGAGAGTTGATCAGGGGTAAGTAAACATACCCGTAGAGACCCAAAACTTCGCCGAAAATGAGAATCAGGACCATGCCGACGAATACGCGAGACTGCTCCATGTACGAGCGAACGCCCTTGTCGCCAACGATACCAATCGTGTAGCCAGCTGCGAGACCGGTGAAGCCGACAGAGACACCGCAGGCCAGATGCATGAAACCACTAATTAAGGTCAGTATGGAAAGTTCCACGACAAGCTACATGGCGGCGACAGGCAATGCGCGCGGCTGACGTACTTGAACAAGCTGTATTCACTTCCAGTTCCAGGGGGCGACAGGTCCTGGGCGATGAGGACGGAGATGACTAGGGAGTAGACGGCAATGATACCGGACATGACAACGGGGATCAGACACTGCGCGCAATGTTAGACGGTGCTTCTGCTCGAGCTTTCGGTGCGACGTGCCTTCATGATGAGATCCGGTCTGAACGTTCCCACACCAGCAATACCGATACCTGACTTCGCGGTACCGTATGCGGCGCCGATGCCTATTGATGTCCACTGTTTAGCATGTTGTCCTCGTTCGTCGCGCCGGGAAGGGATATCAGCTCGGGGGTTATTGGTTGAACATACATCCGAAGATCATGGCAGCCGCGATGCCGGCCTAGTTGCGAGGTGTGTCAGCAAATCGGTATTTCTTCAATGTCATTGCTGGCTAGCCAGATCTTCGCGAGGCCAGCATTGCATCGAGGGGGCGTTGGAGCTTACCATTCCGATGAATGGCGCGAACTTCGGGGCGAGAGCGGAGTCTTCGGCCATGTTGGGCAGACTGTGAATGTGTTTGCGGTCTCTCGATATGCGGGATTGGCGTTGATGACCGACGGAGGGGGAGGGATGTATGCGTGTCGAGGATCCCGCGATGGATGGGTGTCTGCGCTACCTGGATCCAGGACCTTGGAGCTTGGTGACGGTGACGAGGCCCAATCAGGACTGCACGGTGGACGGCTGAGAACCCGTGACGCGGTAAAATACCGGCCCGACACCAGCCACTGGGCATAGTTCAGCCACATCACATCTATCGACTTGCCATCTCAAGCAGGCTGTTGGTGGCTGGCTGTCGAATCAAGTTCCAGAGTGGAGACGTATGCACACGTGCGGCGCAGTAGGCGCAACTGCCTCGAAACGGTCCGTGCTGCGACTTTCCTTATCGGCATGTTGGCTTATCACAGATGTATCAGTCGGTCGAGGACTGGAATCCCTGGACGCCTGCCAACTTTCCTCCACGAAATACCCCTTATATCGCGCGCCCAGATGCAAGGCAAGTGTGAGGTTTGGCTGTATCTCATGTCCTCGGTTTGAGTGTGCTTGAGGCTGGCAAATGGAGGGGAGCGGGACGTGCCTTGCGTGATAAAGTCAAACTATCTTTCGTCGCACGCGTGCGCTGGGCATGGGGAAGGCGTCTTCCTGGTTGGCCGCAACGGTGAAAGGTTCAGATGCTTGCTTCTTTTCCGATGCAACTCGAGGTGCTCCGATTTCAAGACGAGGTTCGGTGTTCGCAGCAGCAAGGCAGCAAGGCAAGGCGCGGCAACGTCCAAGTACCTATTCGCAAAGTCACAGTCTCGAATCATTTGGTGCAGTCGTGCATGAGCAGCTCCATTTCTTCCGGCAGTCACCCGCCCACCTCACGTAGGACAGTCTCAGCTAGTCCCTGTCTCCTGGCATACTACGTATGCGGTAGAGGCGACTGGTCTGAAGCGGTCTTTGATATTCTTAGATACGCATATTGCCATGTGCTCGCCCTGTCCACACCACACGTCGAGATACGGATACAGGGCGCTCGCTAAAGCTAAGATACACCCCGCGAACCAAAGATGAGCCAGACCGGGCCATTCGACGCCCTCAGGACCATGGAGTCTCCATTTGCTGCTGGGCCAATGTCAAAGTCCTACGGATACACTTTACGGCATACATATGCAATGGCGGTAGGGGACGTGGGACTGTGGAGTATTCGAGCTGCAGGACAATGGAAGAAAAAAAGGTCAAGGACCAACCTCGAGGCCCCGTCTGTGAAGGTCTAGCGCCGTGGTGGATCTGCAGACTTGCACCTTTTGAGATCCACCGTCGTCTTTTCTTGACATGTCCAGGTATTGCAGCAAGTCGCCAGAGCACTGACTGATGGCTGGTCTGTTGACCGTCCTGCGCTTATTCTTCGGTTGGTGATTAAGACATGAATGCTCCGAGATCAGAGTTAGATAGGCTAATGTACCTCATCTTACCCTACTTAGACAGGGGAGGTCAGATGCTTAGCACCAAGCCAGGGAGACGGGCAGACAATGAGCGAGCGAGCCAACGTGGGCAAGGTGAATGAATGGATGGGGGTTGGAACTTGGAACTTGTTGGAGGGCTGCAGTTTGCAATCTGCAGGTTGCTGCACTGTACCCGACACGCGCAACCAAAAGAAACGGCCGATTCCCGTCTCGTCTCGTCTCGTCTCTGGTGGTTCGCTCCCAGCAGCAGGCCAGCAAAGACCGACAGCAACCTTCAATCCACCCAGGTCCATCCTGTTCTTCCAATCTATCCCCAGCTTTCTACGCTTGGCCGCAGCCCACGCTTTCTGCCACGACCATTCTAGCCCAATGCCGCCCGCCGGTCTGGATGACTGAGCAGAGTCAAGTCAGCAGTAGCAGCAGCAGCAGTAGCAGTAGCAGTAGTAGTGACCGGGCACCGACCCGACATACGGCCAACATCCCATCGCCCATCTAACGTGCTAGATTAGTTGAGCTGGTGTCAGTGCCAATGCCAGCGGCCCTCCACTTCTGGCTGCCAGACTCACCTCACCTTACCACCTAAGCAAATCCCTAGTACGGATACCTTCCTAGTAATTAGTATTCGTTGCGCACTGCCACTGCCACCACCACCACCACCACCGGCCGTCAACCACAAACCACCACTCCCCTTTGACTTCCACCGCCAACATTTCATCCCCGCCTGCACCCATTTTAACCAGCATCGCTATTGTTGCTGCACACCGCGCCTTGCTGCCTCGCCCCCGACGCTCCTTTTGCAGCCTGCCGAGAATATCGACGTCCTTTGCCGTGTTCCCGCCCTTTGCAACAACCAACCCGCCCAGGTCAGGGCCCTGTGTCAAGTTATAGGCCCATAACGTCACCCGGCCCATCCTGGAAAGGGGACGGAGAATAGAACGAAGGGGAAACGAAAAGCAACACCACCAAAAAAATACCTCCCTTCGACCACGACGCCGCCGCGACAGCCGTCAATCTGTCCCTGCGAGCCTTGTTGGCGCAACCGACCGATCAATTGCCAATTTCGCCCTGTGAGCGGCTCGCGGCGATCCTGTGCTTCCTCACCATAGCCGGCGGCCGTTGAGGCCTCGCGTTGTTAGTACACCTCTCCTTCGATTCCTGTACCACATTTTTCTCCACCTTGGCACAACTCACCATCTCTCCCCTTTATAATCAACCGCCTAACAACCACGTCCATAGGCCGATAAGATCTCTCGCTGCAATCCCCAGCTCGACCGATCCATTCCATCATGGCCGACTACCACGGCGACCCGCGAGGTCACCACTCCAACAACTACCAACGCGATGCCGCCTTCTCAAACATTTTCGGCGCCGCTCCCCCGCCGGGACGCTCCCAGACCATGACCTCCTCTTCGATGCCTCCTCAGATGATGCCTCAGCACCAGGGCAGGACACAGACAATGTCTTCTTCCTCCATGTCGAGCATGCAGCGACAACCCCCGCCGAGACAGCCTCAGGGCGGTTACGACCCGAACCCTCCGAGAGGGGCTTCGTTGCAGAACGGCTACCCGGGACAGCGCTCCGCCTCTGGCGGCTATCAAGTGCCCAACCCTCAACAATACATGCCGCAACAGCAGGCTCGTCGCCCGTATCCTGGCCCTCCGGCACCTGTTCCTCAACGCGGCGACATGCGAGGACCGCCCCCGCAAGGGCAATATGGCGCGCCAAGGTCTCAGGCACAAAGGTTTTATCAAGGAGGAGGACCAGCACCGGCGATGAATAATGATTCGTACCGCTCACAGTCTCTTGCCTCCACCCCGAGGCCAAATATGTACCAACCTGCTCCCGGGAACTACGGTTCGCAGCCGAATCATCAAGCTGCGGCCAATGCCTTTCGTCATGCTCCGTACAACCCGAGTTCGGCCCGAACTACGGCGCAAGGACGGGTCGTTCCCGAACGTCACGATGATCGAGCCATGTCAATGACTGGATACCCTCCGCAAGATCGCGACTTGCATCAACACCAGAACTCGCACCAGACGATGAGCGGCCGAGTCATTCCGAACAGAAGAGCACCGGTGGAGCTGCCGGCGACCAATGGCAGCTTTGGAGGAGGCTACACACCAGCGCCAGGGTCTCAGACGAGGACGGTGAGCATGGCCTCCTCCAATGGAGATTCACAGAGGACCATGTCAATGGCGTCCACCATCGCGCCCACGATAACACCCTCGGATTCCGACGCCGCAACGCTGGCACATAGGCCCTCCATGAGCAAGTCTATCGACGGCAGTGAACGGCCACCGACGGCCAAGATCCGACCTCCTCTGGTATACCCTGCGCTGCTGTCGAGAGTAGCAGACTGTTTCCGACAGAAGATCATCACAGGCGACAGAACGAAGAACGAGCTCACGTATAAGAACGCCTTCAGCGGTGCCGAGGCGGTAGATGTTTTGTCATATATTATCAGGACGACCGACAGAAACCTGGCCTTGCTACTGGGACGAGCGCTCGATGCCCAAAAGTTCTTCCACGACGTCACTTACGAACACCGCTTGCGCGACTCTACATCAGAAATGTACCAGTTCCGAGAAACCATGATGGAAGAGCCTGAAGAAAAGGTCCCTGTCAACGGTGTCTTCGTCCTCCTCTCTGAATGTTACTCTCCCACCTGCACGAGAGACCAGCTTTGCTACTCTATTGCCTGCCCCCGCAGACTGGAGCAAGTGTCCCGATTGAACCTGAAGATTCAGCCCGGCCTGAAGAAGGAAGCCGAGGCTGCCACGAACGAAGATGACATCGATCAGACAGACGAACAGAAGCTCTGGATCAACTCCGTGCCGAAGGAGATCGCCGAGAGCGTTGGTGACAGGGAAAAGAAGAGACAGGAGGTTATTTCGGAAATTTGCTACACCGAAAGAGACTTTGTCAAGGATTTGGAGTATCTCCGCGACTTTTGGATTCTTCCTCTGCGCTCCAAGGCTTCTCCTATTCCTGCGGCCAAGAGAGAAAAGGTTGTCAAGGCTATATTTAGCAACATTGTCGACCATCCTAGTCTTCACCAAGTGAGCTCGCGGTTCGCCAAGTCGTTGACGGAGAGACAAAACAAGCATCCTGTCGTTGGTAACGTCGGAGACATCTTCCTCGAATGGGTCCCTCAATTTGAGCCTTTTATTTGGTATGGTTCCAAGCAGCTGGAGGCCAAGTTTGAGTTTGAGAATGAGCGTTCATCGAACCCGTACTTTGCCAAATTCGTCGACGAGATCGAGCGAAGGAAAGAGTCGCGAAAGCTGGAACTCAACGGTTATCTCACCAAGCCGACGACCCGTTTGGCTCGTTACCCGTTGCTGCTGGAGAACGTGCTCAAGTACACCGAGGACGGTAACTCGGACAAGGAAGACATTCCAAAGGTGCTCAAATTGATTCGCGACCTCTTGAGCAGAGTCAATGCCGAATCAGGAAAGGCAGAGAACAGATTTAACCTGAGAAGGTTGCATGAGCAATTGCGCTTCAGACCGAACGAGAGGGTTGATCTGAGACTGACGGAGGAAGGTCGCGAGTTGGTGTTCAAGAGTCAGCTGAAGAAGACACCGCAAGACGCGTCTGAGATCACGGCTTTCTTGTTTGACCACGCGGTGTTGTTGGTGAGAATCAAGCAAGCGGGCAAGGGGGAGGAAATCAAGGCGTACAGAAGGGTGAGCATTATACACACCGGATTGGAGATTGAGCTAACCTGGAACAGCCTATCCCCTTGGAACTCCTTGCCATTCGAGAAATGGAGGAAGTCATCCCCGGTTCTGGTGGCATGAAGCGTTCGTCGTCTAGCTTGCTACCAGCGCTTCGGGCCAACACAAATGACAGCAAGAAGGGAGAAGGCTGGCCCATCACGTTTAGGCATTTGGGTAAGGCCGGCTATGAGCTGACGTTGTATGCTTCAAACCAAGCGGCACGTAAGAAGTGGCTGGAGTTCATCGACACCGCTCAACAGAAGCTGAGAGCCCGCGCCGACTTCTTTAACACAAGCGTCATCTCTGCAGGATTCTTCGTTGGCACTAACCAGGTCAACTGTGTTACTCCCTACGATGGTGGCCGAAAGTTGTTGTACGGCACGGACAACGGTATTTACTTGTCAGATCGAAAGAGCAAGGAGGCCATTCCGAAGCGAGTCATCGAGACGACAAGCGTCACCCAACTGGACGTTCTGGAAGAGTACGGTCTCCTTTTGGTTCTTTCGAACAAGGCTCTCTACTCGTACCCTCTCGGTGCGCTCAATCCCGACGAGCCTGCCCTCTCGAAGAGGCCAAAGAAGATTCAAAGTCACTGCAACTTCTTCAAGACGGGCATTTGCCTTGGCAGGCATCTTGTGTGCTGCGTCAAGTCGTCAGCCCTGTCAACCACCATCAAAGTCTACGAGCCCAATGACGCAATGTCCAAGGGCAAGAAGCAAAAGGGTTTCGGAAAGATGTTCGCCGGCCAGGATGAGCTTAAGCCATTTAAGGAGTTCTACATCCCTACGGAATCGTCATCTGTGCACTTCCTCAAGTCCAAATTGTGCGTGGCATGCGCCCGTGGATTTGAGGTTGTGTCCCTCGAGACCCTTGAGACGCAGTCACTCCTCGACCAGGCCGACACCAGTCTCGACTTTGTCGCCCGCAAGGAGAACGTCAAGCCAATTCACATTGAGCGTCTCAATGGCGAGTTCTTGCTCAATTACTCTGAGTTTTCCTTCTTCGTCAACCGTAACGGTTGGCGTGCGAGACCGGAGTGGCGTATCGACTGGGAGGGCACACCGCAGAGCTTTGCCCTCAGCTATCCTTGGATTTTGGCATTTGAGCAAAACTTTATTGAGCTCAGAAACATTGAGACCGGCGCTGTGCACATTGTGCCGCATAGAAACATCAGGATGCTGCATAGCAGTACCCACGAGGTAAGTCTGGCTGTTGTCTATCTCCAAAAAACGTTACTAACTCAGCTACACAGATCATTTTTGCGTATGAAGACGAGAAGGGAGAGGACGTTGTCGAAGCCATTGACTTTTGGAAGAGCAACAGGAGATCCGAAATTCCATGATTCGACAGCGCGACGCCATCCCATCTCGGTCACTCCTCGAGGGAGAGCATGTTTGATTAAAGATCGATACCAGAGTGACTTGACTCAAATTCTTTTGCAGCCCTTTTATCGATGGCGGCTTCTTGTCTCTGGACAGGGCAATTTTTTGGCCGGGCGCTTGCGTCAAAAGCGGAGGACGACGATGGCGTGGGAGGGAAGGCTTCTTTTAGAATGGACGACGGCAACCTATTTTTGTCATCGATACATGGTTCTATTTTGTGTTGTTTCCACTTGGATGAGGGTTCTTACTCGGTTAGTAGAGGGAGTCAAGCGTTATTCCCTGCAGTTGTTGGTTGTGGGTGAAGGGACGGGGAGAAAGGGAAGGGTGAGAGATACTCGAGGACAATTTAAAGCAAGTTGTTCCTGCGAGGATACGATTGGTCGCATGTGAAGTGAAATGAGCCTGGCGTGACGGATTTCCTCAGCATTCATCGTCCTTGTGAGAGCCTTGGATTTGAAGTTGCATCCTGGCGCGTGGGTGGTTGGTTTAGTTCAACTCTATTAATTGCATGAGCGTGTCAAGACTGAGATGAACGTTTCCACAATTGTCGGTGATCCCCCAGCTGAGGCGCCCGTCGCGACTTCGCCCTTGGCTGTTGGAGAGGAAGCCTTTTGGTAAGCAAATGTCTATACAATCATCAGCCATGGCCTTTCCCAGATTCTCGTGAGCCAAGATGTAGCGCTGTGATCTGGTGTTTCTCAACGAAATGTTCTCTGACTTGATGCTGGCATCATGACTTTATTAATTGATGGTAGACTTCGGAGAATTCCCTCTATGAGATTGAGGGACCTTTGTCGTCTTGAATCTTTGGCGGGGTATTCGACGACTGATACTCTGGAAAGGAGGCAGAGATCACATCTGTCATAACTAGAACTGAGAACCGTTGGGGCAGACTCTTGTGATGTGACTGGGGAGCATCATCGTGCGTTGACCAAGTCCGATCTAGAGATCTTGGAAAGCGAACTCATTCGTGGCCCTGTGTCAACTGTAGCTGCCAGTGTCACCTTTATAAATATTCTGCCAAATGGCAGGTCGAAAGGAAGGCGATCCGCAGGAGAGCGGTTGCAGTCTGCGGGACACGTTACGGATCTAGGGGTTCAAAGTAGATAGACAAAGGGACTTCGGCGGCGAGGTTAATGTTTCGAGCACCATCATGAGTATTCCTGGAAACAGGGAGCTTTTCTCACTGCTATTCTCAAAAGGAAAGCAGAGGTGATATTTGAAATGCGAAGCCTCGACTGCTAGATCACACGTGGAAAAGGGGGGTTCTACAATGGCTACCAGGACTGATTAGGCGTCAAATCGACATTAAGATAAGTCTGTAAGTAGAAGATTTCAAACCAAGTTGTAGAGCGATTGGCTTATACAACAGTAATTATCGCTGTTGATCCAGAAATTGGGTAGTTTTGGGCTGCACATTTCGTCGTGCCTGCCTCAAGTTCGCGAAGCTCGTCTCCGTAGAACGCGCCATCGAAGGAGCCGCAACTTTGCTCTCGTCACTTCCAGGAGCAACCAACGGAATAGGCTCAGTCGAGCACTTAAAGATCATCTTTTAGCTCGGTAGGTGCCTCCCGCAGTTTTTCTCAAACGCCCCTTCCACTTCTGGGTTGAGCGATGGTTTGGTCCAACACGTTCCTTCCTGCTTGACTTTGACGCTCGGCTCAATATCTTTCTTTCCTCAGGAAGGAAGACGCGTCCCCTTCCCGTCTACACTCCTTCTTCTTTCCACCCACCGCGTCCATCCTTTCCAGCCAGAATCTCCCCCACTTACATATCGCATCTCAAACATCCCAACACCGCACAAAAAGACGCGTTCTCGCCGTCAGGATGGCGATAGACAATCATCGCTGGCTCCTTGAAACCGGCGAGTTCACTGACTTCCGCATCATCTGTGCAGACGATGGCATGGAGTTCAATGTCCACCGACTGATGCTAAGCATTCACTCTGCTTACTTTGCTAGACTCTTCAAGAGCGGCTTTCAGGTTGGTTTTTCTCAAAGCCAGGAGTTCCCAATACACACGATATGAGACTGACTCCCATTGCCTACAGGAAACCATCTCAGGTGTTTCAACCTTCACAGATGTTAACTCACAAGCGATGGGACAGCTTCTTGATTTCTTCTATCGGGGAAACACACCATGGAAGGGTCCTGATGACTTGGTCATGCTGGCCGACATGTGGATTCTCGCGGACAGACTCCAGGCCACGAGTGCTATGATGGAAATCGAGCATAGGGTGAAGATCAAGCTGATCAGTTTCCACAGCAAGTGGATTGTCGCCGATTGGAAACTGCTCGAGATGGTATTCTACCACAAAGCCTGCGCCGAGTCAAGCATAGGCTATACAATCGGCGAAGCTGCTTCTATCGTTCTCGTCAACCGGTCCAAGGACCCAGAGAAGACGGATTTGGTGGAGAGGCAGGCCCGAGAGAATATCCTCCTTGCAAACATGATGTTGTTTTGGTCTTCTCGGTACTGGAGGGAGAGTAAAAGTTTCCAGCCCTCGATGAAGTCTGATCAGTTTTTCTCCAGCTCGTCATTGTTTGAGACGACACCCACACCCGAGGCCACTCGAGGGGATACCACCATCAGAGACAGAATCATCTTCGAGAAGATGACGAAGCCCTCGAGAATCATGACCAGGTACAGTTCACATGTATTCCGAGGATCGTACACCACGCTGACAATTTGCAGCGGACCAGAGGCGAACGCAGACAACAAGCGGAAGAGAACCTCGTAAAGAATTCGGGGAAATGAGTTCATCGAGAATTAAGGAGGAGGTGTTCAAAACACACATCGGCCGAGATGAGGTCAAATTGGCAGAATAGGAGCTAAGATAGAACGGATCTTTCAAGCGCTTCGGAGTCAGCATTCTGTAATTTCCTCGCGTATCTAATATTCCTGCTTCTTATGCTGCCGGGTGAGGTGTTATCACATGGACGAGATGCGGACAATTCTCTTCCATTGTCGCTGCCAATTCAGAAGGTGCATGTTTTCCATTGGGAAAGTGTAGAAGACCGCGTGCTTGCCTTTGAAAGTGCCTGCCATCTACCAAAGCTGCACTTTCCTCCTAACCCGCATTTCAATCGAAAATCTCTTGTAGCTTCTCGTCTTGGTTTATATTTCTCGTACAATTAAAATTCACCTGCCAAACCTTTTGTCAACAGAACACTCCTTTCAACAATTTTGACCCCGCCATTAGCCTGCGAGTTCACCAGCAGCTTGTAATCAGCTTTCGGTGTCTTCTACCCGAAAAATCCAGCACGATGTCCTTCAACATGGATAGAATTCTCCGTGACTTCGAGAATTGGAAGTCTAACTATTTTGAACTCGTGCAAAACGAGCGATGGATGCCGGTCAGCACTGAACTCCTGGTTCAACACTCGGGTTACTTCGCGAAGCTGATCAAAGATGGCACTCCTGAGACCAAGGTACTTTTCTCCCTTACCTGATCCATTTTGATGCGCGCGGTTATGTCGTACTAATAGATCAACTAGCATTCACGCTCCGTGTGGAGAACTTGGAAGGTGCCTGACGAGATCGATTTCGACTTGCTGGCAGCTTTCATCGAACTCCTCTACAACGGTGAAAGTTGGCGGGGATTATGCCCCAACGACATCAAGCAGAATGTTGAGTTGTGGGAGCTTGCAGATTTTCTTGATGTCGAGAGTGTCATGCACACCATCGAACTGAATCTCATCGCGAGGATCGGCAGCATGAAGCAGAAGTATCGTGCTATCAAGCCCGAAATGCTGGATCTCGTCTTCTTCCACCCAAAGTGCAGCAACTCTACCGTGGGCTTTATCGTGGCCGAGGCCGCTATGGCAGTTTGGTTCACCACTGGCAAGGCAGAGTACCTTCGGTCGCTGGATCGTGCGCGCAACAACTTCCCCGTCCTGAGACAGCACATGGGGTTTTGGTCGGAGCTTTACCTGAGATACTACTCAGCTTGCATGATTGGCCATTTTGTGGTGATTCCGGAGGCGACATGGTCCGACAAGACTATCGAATTCTGCCAGCCTCTTCGGAGACACATGATCGAGAGCCGCCTTGGGATTGCCTCCTTTTCGGATTCGGATTTCTTTCCACACATGGACAGTAGGTGAAATCTCATGCTTGGACTCGCACCTTGCAGCTAACTTCTCTTGCAGGTGACATTGACGAATTTGATGATCAAAGTTACGAAGAATGACCAGACCTAGCAACGACTAGGTCACGGATTATTTTCAATGGGAAACCATAGATTCTCGACCATGAACCCTTGAAATAAAGTCTTCGCAGATTGGCGTTGTTTAGACCGAGAAGAGCAGACATGGGATCGGCGGTAGAGGACAAGGTTGGCGAATCTTGGTACGGAATAACAGATGCGTTGAGGACTCAGCGATTTTCTGTTGGCCACGAAGTCTGCTGTTACTTTTCGAAGTCGAGGCGAAGCTGCTTGCACGTAAGCAACTTCACATACGAAGCTCAAGATTGGCTCAGATAGTCCCTTTGACTGCAAATGCTACTTGAAAAATCAAGTATCCCCATACGGATTCAAGTAACACTCGCTTTTCCCGTCGGATCCCCCACGAGTGTCGTCACGAGCGGCCGAGAACAGTTGCAATGATAATGAAACATTCAAATTCTAGTCTGGTATCGCAGCTAATAATCAAAAACGCCATCATGCAACCCACTCATTACATCCCCATCACTCTCACTGCTTCTGCCCAGCCAAATGCCACTCAAACACCTTCCTAAACCTCTCCTTACCATCGCCCTGGATGGTATCGCCGTGGCAGGGGATAATCGTGTCAAAGTCCCACCTGTCGATGGTCTGGATGCTCTCGTTGAAGCTCGGCCTGTCACGGCCGCTCATGACGTACCACTGGAACCGCTTCACCCACTTCACATCACCCTCAGTCGTCTGCAGCCCGCCAAACAGCTTGTTCGGCACGCCCGCCGACGTATCCCGCTCGCCCTCGGGCGCCTTGGAGTACTGCTCGCGCGGGGGCAGGTTGAACATGAGATCGGCCTGAATCAAGATGCGCTCGGGCCTGAAGAAGAAGACGAGCTCCTTGTTGGCGTGGGCGTCGACGTACTCGTAGGCGAAGTCGGCGTCGAACTCGGGCGTGATGGTCGTCTCGCGCTTGCCGGGGCCGTCCTTGAAGGTGACGAAGAACTCGTCGGCCGGGTTGATCTTGGGGTCGCCCGTCTGCTTGGCGCGCTTCTGCGGCAGGCCGTCGGGGCCGATGATCTTGGCGGCGGGGTATTCGCGCTTGTACTCGGACAGGAAGATGTGGTGCTCCATGTCGGGGGCGATGATGTAGGCGAGGTTGCCGCCCTTCTCGGCGATCTTGGCCTTGACGGCGTCGGTGAGGGCGACGGGGCTGAAGACGGCGAGGGCGCCGGAGGAGAGGCGGACGAGGGTGGCGCGGCCGCCGATCTTGAGGACGCCGAAGCGGGCGAAGGGGACGGAGAAGGTGGTTACGTTGGGGGTGAGGTCGCGGATGACCATGACGTCCGCGGGATTCGCGGGGATGAGTTTTTGTGACATGATGGGTTTCTTGATGTGGTCTTTGGCCGATTTGAGAGGGTTATGATGGGAGGAAGAGGGTTGCTGGTCTGGTGAGTCGAGGGTGTGTTGGCCTTGGAGGGGTGCTTGGGTGTTGGTGGTGGTGTTGTTGGTGTTGTGAGATGAGCCTTCGGGATGAGCTTGCGAGTGAGCCTGCGACGGGTTGTGTGTTGCCGAGAATGCTCTACGATGGATTGTCGAGGTGCGAATTGTGCGGGCTGATGTAGCCGGGTATCTTAGGAGTCTCTAAACGGAAGGATAGTTTTTAGAAAACGTGCGTGACAGGAGGTAGAGGGGGGAGGGAGTTATTTGGGTTATATATGAGGTAATGGGGGACCTGAGACTGTCTGCCGGGATGGAGCAGCTTTCACGAGCTGCAACGGGAACGGGGGCGGGAACAGAAACAGATTTAAGCTACGGCGGCGTGCGTGGTGTGGGCGCGGCGGGCACACGTACCATTGTCAAATCAAGCGGAGGCGTTCCGACGGGTTCGTTCTAGAAACGCGGACTGCGGAAGACGGAGGGATTGAGGGAGGGAGGGAGGGAGGGTGTGTAAGAGATGGTGTGGGGGAAGTTCGACTCTCACGTCAGTCAAGTCAAGCTTCCCTCAGCCGGGAGTCCGTTTTTTTTTCTTCTGCGATTGTTTCGACAAGGCGCAGGGTCCAGCTATTCCTCGCAACAAATTGCAATTGGGAGGGCAGAAACTGAGAAGCGGACGGGAAGAGACGACGACGGACGGGACGAAAGGGCGAGATCTGCGGCCCGGGTATGTCGTCGTTGACGTCGGGGAACGGGTGGTACTGAGTCGGGGGACACTTGCTGCAGCACACCACACTACCGCGGCACTCTGAAAAGTTTCATCAATCCGATGGGGTGACCGCGTGGGATGTGGATGGATGTGGATGCGGGAGCTGCAGGAGATGGAAAATGTGCCCAGAACCCTTGTTCGGTTCGGCCGAGCTTGTTGTTGTTGCTTCTTTGCTGAATGCGTCTGAGTCGGCCGTCTTTGTGACTTTCGTTGCTGCTGCTGCGCGTGGCTATCGTGCGTTTGTCTCGCCCGGAGACTCTGTACTATTACAGGGCTGCAATTTGAAATCGGGCCCTTGATGTTAGTAGCTGCCCTGGTGTAATATCGATCGGCCGCTGCGGATGCAATGCAGACGCGGCTTGTCAGAACGTTAGTCGCACGCTGTAAGGTAAGGTAGGGATGCTGTGTGGAAACTGCCTTAAGGGAAAGGGACAGGGCCGGTGTCATGACATCACTGACGAGGTGGTGCGGGAACTGCATCAGAGTGACATCTTCCATGCCGCCCCGGGGTCCTTCAGGTCTCCTAGGGCAGAGGAGCCTACCTACTGCCTACCTTAGGTACCTAGGTCTGGAACCACCCGCTAGGTACTGAAATCAGTGCTGGGCTGACTGCATGGCTGGCTGAATAATTTGACGACGACCGGGACCGAGGCACAGAGTCGGGGTCGGCTGATCGCACACTCCGTCCACCACCGTTCGACCTCCCCAAAACGAACCAAACACCAGGTCCCCAATCTGCAAATCTGCAGTGCCGTGTTGTCTCTTGATAATCCACAGCGGAACGAAACGTCTTTTGCGAGAACGAGTCCCTCCGACCGGGGCTTCGAGTCGTTCCGTGCAGAAGCGTCCTGTTCCGCGAGGTTCCACCTCCGCCGCCGAGGTGGCCGGACTATGCCACAACTGGCAATCTGCTGGGTGCAAGAGTCCATGCGCGCGCTAAGCGTTTTTCGGACATTTTTGTTGCTGCCTTTACCGGGGCCCTGGGTCGACAGTGCTGCAAATTCCAAATCATCTGCCGGACGACGACGACGACGGGAAGCCGTTTGACCACGCACGCCAACGGATATCCAATTTGAGATGATTCAATTGTGTTTGTGCAATCAGATGAACAAACAAGTCTAAATGTCAAAACGCCGTTGCGCCCAATATCCGTCATTACAAACCAAAACATGACAGCACACTTCACTCACCCACTCACTGCACTGAGCTGGCCACCAGATCGTCAAATGTCATACCGTCCACCCAACATCACATCGAGTCAAGAACCTGTCAAAATCAATCCTCCAGAAATACGGGGAAAACTCCCTCCTCCCCCGCCATCCGCGCTTCCCACGGCAAGCCGCTGGTGTTCCAGCTCAGGCTTATGCCCAGAAGGTTTTCGTAAAAAAGACCAGCAAAATAGTTGACGGTCGGCCAGAAACGATAGTCTGCGCCTCCCAGGCCCAGCATGTTGTGTACCTTGGGCCGCACCGTCGTCTCGATGTAGTACGCCCGCGTGAGGTCGTTGCCCCTCGCCCAAAGCTCTCGAGAAACATGAAGCGCGAACCAGTTGCAAAGGCAGAAGTAAAAGGTGACATTCCACACGACGCCTACAAGAAGAAAAGCGAAGTTCCTGTGGTGTATCGCTTTGAACTGGAGTGCGCGCACAACGATGTCGCACATGTTATAGACTTGAAGCCAGTACCACTTGAAGATTGACATGATGACCCGGAAAACCCAGGGGTCCTTCACTTCTTCTGTTGCTCCTTTTCTGCCGTTGCCATCGCCCGGTGGTTTGTTGTCTCGGTCGCCGTCGCCTGGAGCTTTCCCGTCCTCCTTTTGAATGGCCGAGGCAGGCAAGGGGAACATCATGTCTTCAGAATACCGGAACACGAACTCCGGGTCAGATTTAGGTGGAGGGCCTGTTCCTGCTGTACCCTCAGCCTTGGGCTTGCTGTTGTTTCGATTCGGTTTGTTCCTCGGGTTCATTCGTGCTGGCTTGTCTTCTGGCTTGTCTTCTGGCTTGTCTTCTGGCTTGTCTTCTGGCTTGTCTTCTGGCTTGTCTTCTGGCTTGTCTTCTGGCTTGTCTTCTGGCTTGTCTTCTGGCTTTTGGCCTGGCTTGTTCAAGTTGTCATTCGAACTTCCGGCAGCCCGCGCAGGCGTCTCGGACTTCATAGCATCCATGTCTTTCTCCATATCTTCGGCCTTCTGCTTGGCTTCGAAGTAATTCTTCTTCAGGAGTCTGTTTTTTTCCTGGAGCTGCTTGATCTTGTCCTCTGGTGACTGAGAGGGTCCTCCGCCGCCGTTGTTGTCGTCGTCCTTCCGAGAAGAGTCCGAGTCGCTGGAGCTTGAACTCGAAGATGCCTCCGGATCTTCGTCTTTCGAAGCTGTCTTAAGCCTTGGCTTGGCTTTCTCCTTGCCCTTCTTCTTCTTCTTGTCCGACCCTTTCTGCTTCCACTTCTTGACATCTTGCGACGATTTGGATTGGGAACCTTCCAAAACCTCACGCATCGTCTCTGCATCCTCCTCCAACTTCTCGTTTGCCTCCTTCAAATGCTCGTTTTGCTTCTTCAGATCCTCAATAATCTTGTCGTCCGTATCATTATCTCCGCTTTCTGGCTCGTTCTCAGGGTTCTTCTCATCTCCTTTAGCAGGGACTGTGACTACTTGGGCTTTGCCGTCCACATATATCACCTTCTTTAGCTTTCTCGACCCCTTCCGGAATGTCGGGCTATCAGCGATGTCCCCACCGCTTGTTCCAGAAAGTCGCGAGGCTGGCCTGTCGTCGAGAGCTGCAAAATTGACATGCAACACTTCGTTCGTCGCCTGCAGCTCCTTGATCTGCTGTTCCAGCACCCTGCATTTCTCGGCTCCAGCAATGCGGTTGTCTTGAGAGAGCTCAAACTCCTTTTGAACGTGCTTCAACAGCTTCTCGCGATCGTCCAAAGTTTGTTGGAGCTGATCATCCCGTCCTTGCCGGAGTTCGAGTACCTTCTGCAACTCTTGTACTTTCTGCTCCAGGTCGAACCTTCGATCCGTCCCTTCATTGTCGTCTGATGCATCTACCGAATTTGGATCGGCGTCTTCGTTGCTGCCACCCGTCGGGTCAAGAATGTGGGAAATTACGCGTCGCATCCTTTCTCCATCATTCTCATCGGTGCCATTGAGCAACTTCTGCAGCTGCAACCGAACATGAAGGTGGGATTCCTCAGCCGCATCTTTAGCACGCTTGGCAACCGCTAACTGTTGTTCAAGCTCCTGTCGGCGTTCTATGAGGTGATCGATTGGCGCGGACCTCGAAGAAAGCTCCAAATCCAGCTTCTTCTGGAGCGAGTCGACCTCTTCCTGGGACTCTTCAAGCTTCCTCCTAAGGTCTTCGGCGACTTGGAGTATCTCGAGCGCGTGCTCGCGGACAATAGCATTCTTCTCATACAATGCGTCAGCCAGTTTGTCTTCCGTCTGCCTCAACTGCAGAGGCATCGTCTGATCTTCGGCCTTCCAGTTGGCGAGTTGTGTGTTGAGTGACTCGACCATTTCTTTGTCTCCCTCCCTGTCGCTGAGCTGAGCGCGAAGCGCCTCAACCACTCCCTCAAGGCGCTTGATGTCCTCCTGGTACTTCTGCTCATGTTCCTTAAACATTGGCAGATCCGCACCCCTGTTCTCCAGGATTCTGAGAGCATGGTCTCGTTGCAGCGCAAACTTCCGAGCCTGAGTGCGGAGGAAGTCGTAGTTTTGCACACTGCCGGCCCGTCTAACAAGAGAGTGAATTGCCCTTATGATGTCGTGATTCGCTTTAGGGATCTGGCTGATTTGGTTGTTGAATTCCTGGAAGGCCGATCCTAGGCGAGCTGTCATTTCACCGGGGTCTTGAGTGGGAGGGTCAAAGACAGAGGTTCCTCCGCTATCGCTTGCGTTGGTTGAAAGATCGTACGGAGGCTCCGAGTCACCGTCGAAACTTGGAAGAACAAGGTCGTTGTTGGCGATGTGAAGCTCTAAGCTATGAGCCGCATGCAACTGAATTGCCCGGACAACCCGAGAGGCTTGTAGTGATCTGTTCGCGGAGGTATCAAGTCTTTCGAGCGCAAATCGGATGGCGTCGATTTCTGCCACGAAATAGGGCCGGGAGGAGAGCTCTTCTGGCTTTGCGTCAGAGCTGTCATCCATTCCATCTCCCTTGTCATGCTGGTCGTTATTCTCGCTGTCGGGGTGCGAGGAGGGACGTCCACCGTTCTCCCGATTCGCAGTTGCTGATCTAGGAATCAGTTGTCGCTCTCCTGGCCCACCCGCATGTTCAGGGGCCAAAGTGGTCGCAGTGGCTTGCAGAGGTGGTGTTGGAGGAGGCTGGTCCAGTCGACGGAGCGAGTCGTTCAACCGGGCTCCATAAGTCTTGATGTCTTTACGCAAGGCAGCCGATTCAATCGTGATGGGGTGCATAATCTCCTCCTTCTCCCCTTGTTTGATGGCCATCTCAAGGCTCAAGTCCTCACTTGTGTCTGTAGAGAGTCCCCTGTCTGCTTCAACCGCCTGAAGTCGTTCCTCCAACGTGCCTAACTCAAGGTCGAGCAAATACAGTTCGCCATTTTGAGCTTCCGTGAGACTTTTCCAATGCTCGTCCTTCTTCTTCCTGAGTTTCTCGAAAACCTCGCGCATTTCTTCGAGTTGGTCAAGCATGCCATTTTGTTCATCCCAGGGGTCCATGCTTAGGGGCTGGCTCTCATCTGACGGCTGGGTCATGTCGGTAGTTTGATCGTTCGGTTTGGGGGATTCTTCCCTTGCAGATTCTTCGAGTAAGCTGGCAAGCTTCTCCTCAAACTCTGCAAACTCTCGGAGAGACTGCAGGTAACTCCCGAGCACCCGAACGACCTCTCCCTGTCCCACATCGGTCTGCGTGCCGACTGTCTGAACGGAGTGCTGCTTCTCAGGTGCCTGCAGTGCGTCCCGTTTTGCGTCCGCAATCTCCCGTTCCTTTTGCCGCAAGTCGTTCTCGCAGTTAAACAGTTCTTGTTTGAGTTGTTCAATCTCATCTTGATACCTGCGTAATTCTTTTCCAGCGGTGCCTTTCCAGATGGCTCCGCGCTCGGCCTGTGTTCTTCTTTCTGTCTCGGCCTGTGTTCTTCTTTCTGTCTCGGCCTGCCTCTTGTAACGTTCTCCGGCAAGCTTAGTTTCCAAATCAAAACGTTCGCTTTCGACCTCTTCGTTGCGAGCGATACTCTCGTCCAGTTGGCTTTTAAGTTTTTCGATGCGGCCCTCGAGAATGGCAATTTCGTCCTCCTGCTCCGTGATTCTTTCCTCCAGGCCCAAGTTGGCCTTTCCAACCTCGTCACCCGAGACCTGCCATGCCTCAAGCTCGGCTCGAGTGTCCTCAATCTCCTCTTGGAGCCTGTTGCGATGTTGATTTGCCTCGGAAAGCTTCTCCTTGAATACCTGGAGCTTTTCGAACAGCGCCGAGATGGTGGCCTCGTGTTCCGCGAGCTTCCGCTGCTCAGCTCCAGCACCCTGCCGATCCTTGGCCCGGCTGATTTCTGCCTTGAGCTGTTTAATGATGGTCTCGTAAACGTCGATTCTCCCCCTCAAGCCGGAAACTTTGTCCCGCAGCTCCAGAATCTGCGTTTCGTAGACTTGCTTCGCATCCTCCAAAGTCCGCAACTTGGTCATTGCCTGCAACAGGCGAGCCCGCAAGTCGGCCACGACCGTAGGGCTGCAAGGTTTGCTCAGCATGCCACTCTGAGGTGCATGGCTGACCTCCGGCTGGAGTTGTGATGTCAGTCCGACTTCTCTTACACCAGCAACGCAACTGGATGCTCTTACCTCTTCGAATCCGACGGACGATTCTCGACTGAAACTGAGCCCTTGAAGCTCGCTCCTCAAATCATGAGCGCCACCAAAGGCTGTGCTCGTCCTCCGAGAGATCTGAGACATATCGTCTCCCACATCAGGCGCACGATCACCTCTTGCACCTACGAAGCTGGAAGTCGACGCTCGCGAGAGCTCTCTCTCTGCATCCGGAACGAAACTGACCCGGGGATAAGACTCATACCCATCGTCGTTGGCAAGAGCGTCAATGGTATCCTCTTCCTCTTGCGAACTGCTGCCAATGGCGAGAAGGGCGGTTTCGAAGGCAATGCCGTAAACCTTGAGGAATGGTTCGACGATGCGACGGACATCCTCCACGGGAATCTCCTGAGATAATCTCTGTTCATCCTGGACCTGATCCAATTGCTGCTTGAGATAGGAAACCTCGCCCCTGGTGTTGCTGAGCATCTTCTCGTATTGCTTGTATGAGACTTTCTCGCCGTCGACGAGGAATGTCGCCGACTCGGGCTTGGCGGCTGCTTTCTTTCGTCTGGATTTGTCTAGCTCTTGCTTGAGCCTGCCAATGTCGTCGTTTAGCCGGACCTCGTCCTTTCCGGCTGCCTCAAGCATCTGTTCGTAATGTCTTATCGACTCATTGTATCCATCCTCAGAGCTCTTCCACTTCCTTTCTTTCTGCTCAAGATCTTTCACCGCCTTAGCCCTAGTTGTTTGTTCTTCCCTCAATTGGTTGCTAAGAGAAGCCACCTTGAGTTCGAGCTCCTCTGTGCCGGCAACGCGCGCAGTTTGCTGATCACGCTCAAGCTCCTCAACCCTCGACTGAAGGTGTCGTCTTTGGGCATCCGCGCGATCTCGCTGTATGGTGAGTTCGCATATTCGGCTTTCGGCTTCCGCGAGTTTATCCTCGGCCTTCCCGAGGTTGTTCTCAGCCTCCTCGTATCTGGAATTGTAATGCTCAGCGTCATCGTAATTAGCATCGCGAGCCACTTTGGCGTCTTCAAGTTCTTCGCGGACATCCGTAAGCTGCTCGTTGACCTGCGCAAGCAGGACGTCTTTCTCCTTCACGGCCTCTTCAAGAGACTTCTTCTCCTGCTGGAGGGCGGCCTGGGACCTCTTGAATTCCTCGAGCTCTGCCTTCACCGATGCAATGGCCTCACTCCGGTGACCGACCTCCGAGGCGAGCTTGGCGAAGGTGTCGTTGAGGAGGGAGTCCATGGTCGACTCGTCACTTGAGTCTTCCGAGTCTTCATCACTCAAAAGCGTGCCGACCAGATCGAGTAGGTTGTGTTCTTCGGCCAGGCTCTTCAATCTACCCCTCAAACGGGCCAGAGTCTGCCGCTCGGTCGCAGCATCGCGCTGGGCGTCGTTGCGCTGGGCATCGTCATGTTGTACATCGCTGAGGATCGATTGTGACGAATCTTGCGCTGGGGCTAGCGAGGATCTTCGATCGGTCGTGAATCTCTGCTGCCCTCGTGAGCGAGAGCCACTGTCGCGTGTGCCACTCAAACTTCGGGTAGGCGTGGTGGAAGATGCACGGCTACTGTTCTCTTTCGGTCCTTCCCAAGCCACCGACGCTGATCGAGCAAGCGCAGAGCTGGACGTTCCTCCCCGGCCACGGGAAATATTCCGAGCCGACAGACTTCTCATGGGAGAGACATCGCTCTTGACCTTGCTCTCCTCCGGAACACTCTGAACGACACTTGCCCACGACAATGGTCTCGGCTGCTTCGTCTCCGGCGTCGCCACGTCTACCATGGGAGAACTGGGTATGGAGCCAGCTGGAGAATGGCTTACCGAATCGTCGAACGGCGCGGGTGAATCAAAGACTGACGAGTCAAAGGTGTCATCGTGTGTGTTGCTTGACAGTGCCGGCGAGAATGGTCTTGGCGGCGATGACTTTGGGTCGTTGCCGCTGGCCACCTCATTGTCGGGCTCTGTGTTGTCTACTGTGGCACTCTGCTCATCTTCCGTCTGCCTCGGAGGCTCCGGCTGATGAATGTCTCGAGATCTGGCACGACCACGAGGAGGCTCGCTCTCGGGAACTTTACCCTCGTCCCATTCCTCGACCATATTGCTTCGAATGTCGGATGTCAGCAAATGTCTAGTTCGTGTACTTACGACAGATGTTGCGCAAAACTTTGGTGGAAGAATAGTTGTGACACGTTATGGGGGATAACACAAGGCTTTTATCAGGCTAAACAGAAGGGAATTTGAAGAGAGCAAACGAATAACAAGGCGTGGTAGTCCGTCTTTGACATCGCTGACCTCTCTCATACTTATGGTACACCTTCAGATGATAAGGCTCAGACAAGGCAGGTTCGAAGGCCGTCGTCTTTGCGCTCCTTTACAACCATTCAGCCAGTCTTGGGAGACAATGACCCAAGGAGCAAGAAGCGATGTCTTTTCTCCTTGTGTATCCATGCATTGCCAAAAAGTCCGTTTGCGTTATCTGCGGCGCCATCGTGATGATATCCAGGGAATCAAACGGGAGAAAGGCCTTTGACGAAGCCCAGAATAGCATTTCAATCGGATTTTCAGTCCGAAAAAAAGGCTCATTGCTCCCTTGGTGCAACACAAATAAGGCCAATCCATTCAGAAGCCCTTGGGTAAAAAGGTGGCCGTGCAGAATCCTTTTCCTTGTCGCTTGTTAGCCTTTGTTGAACTTGCCAACTTGGCATCCCTTGATCTTCTGGTTGACCGTTTGCCAGCTCCGTCTTCCATCAAATCATCCAAATCGGGAGAGGGTGGGTTGAGAAATCTTGCAATTGCGGCAGGATTCGATTCGCCTTGATGGATCGTGAACTCCTGCTAATATGTCTCCTATCCTTTGAAACGCCAGTGTTGATATCTCCTCCCCATTGCAAGTGCCACGTAGCTGCCATCCGGGTATTCTGAATATGATTCAGCACCAAGAAAATCCATGAATCTGAAATGCCTCGCCAAACGCCGCCCATACCATCTAATCCATCTAGCTATACCAACCTCTAGCACCGGGGCCCGATGCCGTTGCCTCTTTCCTGTGCTTAATCATTGGTTCAGTGATATGGAATGTGTCGATGATGTCTTGCCATGTCTCCATATCCATCGAAAAAATTGCTTGATGCTTTGCGACTTCGCGCTTGACTCCACCCTCTTCTTCCATCTCGTCGCCAGTAATGGGACCTGAGATTTGGGTTAGAGGAGGTCTTGCGATGTGTTAGGCCTAACTTACTCAGAGATGGGAGCTCGTTGCTATCGAACTCAATTCCGACCTTGCCGTCGCGGATGAGGAAGCTGACATAAAACATGTTCTCTACGGTCTGGCCGAAAGACTTCGGATTCACGACGAAGCGTAGGAGGTCGACTCCGCCAGTCTCTCGAAGGCCATATGCGTGCATCGTCTGAATTTGTTCCTCCTCGCTCATTTCTCTCTCATCAAATAGTTCCACAAGCTTCGTCTGGGCATCCGCCTGTGTCTCTTGCAGTTGCTTGAGGATTTTGCCACAGATTGCCGTAAGGTCGTTTTCCTTCTTAGCCAAATCCTGGACATCCAGAACTTCAGGTCTTGTCTCTGCCAAATTGTTTGGCCGGAATGGTGCTGTTCGTTTGGAGATTTTTCGAATCTTCTTCTCAACAGACAGCGGACCCAGTAGGAAGCCAGGCAAGGCTGGGCGGCGAATGTTAGGCAGAGACGCGAACCTTCCCAAGTGGCTCCAATTGAACGCCTCGTCATTATCCCCGTCATCGTCATTTGAGCCGCCACCGGTCCTGCGTCTTCGCCTTTGCGTGCTCGAAAGCTCGGGTGCCTCGTCATCTTCGATGCCGCCGGCTTGACGCATATAGGTGCAGCATTTCGAGACGAACTCGTCGATATCAACGCCCTCTGCCGAGCTGCCCTGCATCAACCGCACAGTCTTGCGGTATGACATGTCGACTGCGCTAACAAGTAGGCGGGAGTCGATGGTGGCTTCTGTGGTCTGCTTGACATTTCGGGCAACTTCTTGCGCCATCATCAAAGTCTCCTTGAGACCTTTTGAACCTGGCATCATGTACTCCTCCATATTCTCGTTGATACCTTTCTGCAGCTCACGCAGTCGACGCTGGATCTCTCGACGTTCCTCCATGGGTTGGTCGGGGTCGTAAACATCGTCGCCATCTTCATCGTCCCTGTCGCCGGACCGGCCGTTTGCGCGGCGGCGTGAAGACTGTTCTCCGTTCGTGTCTGCGCGCTTCCGCTTCCCAATGGATACATCGCGACCCTTTCCTTTGTCCCGGATGGCGAGATGACCTCTCGCGGGTCCTGGTGCTTCATCTTCGCTTGGTGAACCTGGCGAGGAGGGCGGCGTGGAGCCGTCCACTCTTGCAGGCATTTTTGAGCAGTGGAGGGGTGAGCGTCGGCGGCCTTTGAATGCGTGATAGGGTCGAAAGAGGAAGTTCGGTTGGTAGTGCACCTCAATGCAACAAGATGGGGTGTGACAAGAGAACGCGGCGGCGGTATCTCAACTGGCGATGATCGGACGGAGTTGCGATAAAACGCCCGTTTAAAGATGAAGTGGGAGGTCGCGCGTGAAATTGTGACCGGGAAGACGCGACAAGCACACTTTCCGGGCCTCCTTCCCACTCAACGCGCTCAGCTAAGCTTATCTTATCTCTCCCTCTAGCATGCGTGGGGGAAGTCGTGGCTTGCGTTGCTCTTATCGATAACGCGACGGGTGGCTTGGGCGGGGTTAATGAGCTGAAGCAGGTACATCGGTGCAACCTTGGTGGCAGCGACCATCGGGGCTCCACTGAAGCTCTGAGGTGAGTGACTGTCTCACTGACTGCGCTCGCGGTACTGTCACCTGCCTTTGAGCCTAGCTCGTGTTCGTGCTATCGGCACCATCCAGCACCGGGAACCCAAGTGCGCATTCAACATCATTCTGCGCGACGCAAACTCCAGCCTCCCCGATCGCATATTTTCCCTGACCGACGACCGAAAGCTACCGCGATTATAATCTTCTGTATCGACCTCCGAGAATGGCCTCATGACCTCCAGTGAGCTCCTTGTGCCAAGATGGACCCGTTCTCGTTCGCAAGCTCTGAGTCTCTGGACTATCCAGTGAGCATCCGCATGTACGACTCCCTTCTCTGGCACTTCCACCGTGGGATGCGCGCGCTGACTCCCTGGCGATAGAATCAATCTGGAAGGCGATGAAACCCCATTTCTACATTCTACACTCTTAGAGAAAGCCGAGCTAAGGCATATCGGCTCCAACACGAGGTACCTCGCCCAGGCTCCATAAGCGGTTGCTCGTGCTGACCTCCCAGCTCCCATTCCGATCTCTACGTCACAGTCCAAGTGTGGGCCGGTTCCAAACCCTTAACTGTGCCAGTTCAGACAGCATATAAATCGTTCCGAAACGAAAGGAGGTATGGCAGCTCCCTGTTTCCTGTCAGGATTGTCGCTAATGGCCGCCTGTTGCAGGTGGAACGAATGGCTGACGCTCCCAATCGACTACTCCACGCTCCCCTTGAACTCCTGCTTGGCCATCACGTTATGGGACTCTTCGCCTGCTGGTGGAAAACAGGCCGTGGGCCACGCGATACCCTTCGGAGGAACCACGCTACCACTATTCGACCGAGATAACCAAGTGCAAAAGGGCCGGCAGAAATGCATGGTACATCGACACAAGAACGCTGACGGCAACGACAACACCACCACACCTGCGGTTCCCCGTAAGAAGAGGGACACATCGAGGAAAGGGTCTGCGCCACCAGTGGACAAAGATGCAGAGGAGCTGGAGCGCATGGAGAAACTGTTTAAGAAACACGAGATGGGGGAAATCCCTAGAGTCGACTGGCTTGACCAGCTAGTCTTCCGCGGTTTTGAGAAGCGAGGTCTTCAGTCAGCGAAACAATCACTCAAAGCCATGCAACGGCAACAGACAAAAAACGGCGATGCAGTCAACGAAAAGAACAGAGTTGCAGACGAGAACAACGCTGTTGACACAGAGACTCATGCAGGCTTTTCCAAGTTCCAACTCAACGTTGAGCTGCCACGGTTCGATTTCCCAGTAGTGTTTGCCGACCTGGAATATCCACCTCCGCCAATCTCAGCGTTGCAACACATGTCGGCGTCTCAGTCAAACGTCATGTTGAAGCCACCACCAGAAGTACAGTTTGGTCCTGGCATCAACGCACTCGGCGACTCAGGTCCAGGCAGTCGCCTGATGAAGGTGTACGATCCCGAGGTTGGGGCCCGTGACAATCCGGCCGAGAGCAAGCACAGGAGACTTGTCAGAAGCCAGCATCGTCACGGCATCTTGGATAAGGACCTCAAGCCGAACGCCAAGGTTCGCGACGAGCTGAACCTCATCATGTCATACTCTCCAACCCATATCTTGACACCCGAAGAGAAGGACTTGATTTGGAAGTTCCGCTACCATCTCGCCCGTGACAAGCGGGCAGTCACAAAGTTTGTGAAATCCGTCAACTGGCAAGATCACAGTGAAGCCAAGCAAGCGGTGCAGGTTCTGGGACGCTGGACACAAATCGAAGTCGATGACGCGCTCGAGCTACTTGGCCCTACGTTCGACAACCAAGCTGTTCGAGCCTACGCTGTAGACAGACTACGAAAAGCTGATGACCACGAGTTGCTCCTCTACTTGTTGCAGCTTGTGCAAGCTTTGAAGTATGAACACATTCCGTCTGATTCATCCCAGGAAACCATCCAAGACTCTTCTCTCGCGCAATTCTTGATATCGCGCGCGGCTGACAACTTTCTTCTCGGCAATTACTTCCACTGGTACGTGATGGTCGAGTGCGATGATCACAGTGCCGAGCAAGGACTTGACAACCGAAACATCTACCGGAAAGTTGCCTACGACTTCATGACGGAGCTGGTGAAGCGTCCTGACGGGGTGGACACCCGAAAGACCCTCCTCAGGCAGGCCGAATTGATTGCGAACCTATCCAAAATCTCCAACGAAATCAAAATGTCCCACGAGTCTGTCGCAAAGAAGACGGATCATGCCAAGAGCTGGTTGGCCGATCCCAAGAACGAGGTCATTGTCATTGATCCGCCTCTGCCGCTTCCACTCGACCCTACCATG